AATGTCAGGAGAAGATTTCCAGGATAAATCTGACAAGCTGTGGTCCCCCACATTCATCAGAGGAAGCTGGAAGAAAGGACAAATGCCATTAGAAGTTCCCAAGGGGGTATAAGGACGTAAATCAGCAGAGAATCCAGAGTGGCTTGACCCACCACCGTTTTCGTCGGATTCTACAAGCAATTAAGCATGAGTCAGGATAAGGAAAAATATGTAATTTTCTGACTAAAATTGATATTTTATACTTATCCTGACTCATGAGGTTAGCCCTCCCAACCTCCCCTCATGGCACTCTGGATTTCCCTGCAAGTCCAAGTGTCAGGGCTCGAAATAACGGAGAGAGTGAACAAGCATGGCGGATCATGTGACCTTTTCTCGCCAAAAGATGGTTTCAGGGGAGGCAACTGGGGTGAGTGATTTACGTCCACTTTTTTGAAGGGAGCTTCAAAAGGGGATTCAAGTGTTCCACTATAGTTCACAAGAAGAAGAAGACAAGCAATTAAGCATGAGTCAGGATAAGTATAAAATATCAATTTTAGTCAGAAAATTACATAATTCATTACTTTCTGACACACAGCTTTTGAGAAAGCTGCAGACATCTACAAGGTTCGAGAACTCTCAGATCTACAGGCAGATAACAGCAACGCAGACATCTCATTTCAACCCAAAAGAGACGTACTGCATATACGCTGATGACTTTGACTCCAATATGATATCACCTATGAAGCCGATATCTCAAGCACTGGAGAACCTCAAGGCGACCTTCGTAAAGGGCTTAAGGTTAACAACGCCTTCAGGAATCCTTGAACGGACGTGCAGATGATATTATTAACACTCGCCACTCAGCGTGGGGGTTAGGATTTTATATCCTATCAACTAGATTCAACATCGGTATTCTTCAAGATCCATACAGACATACGTCTCGACAGCTTCCTTCGTCATGCTGGCTTATATTATCCACAATGGAAATACGTGATTAATATCACTGAACAAGATTGTATACTTGGAGGAACCCTTATTAAAGAGGTTTATATGAGCGGCGTAGAACTATCGCGCTCTTTTACAAACTATTGCACCAGATTTTATGGAGGCCAACTTGCTACAACACCAGTGATGTCATGCTTGGAAGCTGATTGGTCCACATCAGACAACGCCTCCTACTGACAGAGCAGGCGCCAGCAAGTTTACTGACATGTAAACAAACCCGTTGTACGGGGGAATACTTCATCGGCCGCCTTGGAAACAGTATACAACTACGGCCTGTTATCATCATGGGAATCTAATAGATGTCTAGCCTTGACAGCAGGATAAACGAGGTTTATCTTTGAAGTTGTCGCTGATAAAAGTCGGTATGAGTACCTGTCCCCTGCGATACTGGAGCCAGCCTTGCTATAAATAGACAACGCTTCGATGTATGCTGATCAACACAGATCGTCTGCGTATATAAGGGGAAGAATGATGAATCATCACTGCAATCAGAGGTTAGCACTTCCAATGGAACGTCCTACCGTTTGGAATATCGTCGGCTCTATGGTTATTCATACAAATAACCAAGCCTATCGGCACCTATCTGCAGCATCAAGGTCTATGCAGTTGCGGTTATCTGGACGACGGCATACAGGTTCTTCAAAGTGCCAATCAACTCAGACAGCAGCTGAACTTCACAATAAAGTTGCTCACGCAACTAGGATGAAGTTGGAGTTAGAATCAAAACGAGATCTTCAATTGCTGGGAATAAGAATTACCACAACATAGAATCGAATTGTGGTCCCAGAAGATCGTTGGGTCAAGATACAAGCCATGATTCCACCAGTAGTCATCTCTCCGTTAACACTACGAACATGGCAATGTCTACTCGGTCTGCTAACCTCGGCGCAGGACTTGACTCGCACAGGAAGGTTACAACTAAGGCCACTGCAACGGTTCCTGACAAAACATCTGGACAGCGTCGACCCTATCTTGCTGCCAGACAATCTCAAGAGGTACCTACTTTGGTGGACCCTCAAGTCGAACGTCTGCAGAGGAACCTATTTACAAGAGCCGGCCTTTGACACACATCTCTACGTAGACGCATCGGTACAAGGTTGGGGTGCACATCTCAACAATCAAGTTCCATCAGGGAAGTGGTCCAAAACAGAGCAGCATCTTCACATCAATCTGCTGGAGATGAAAGCCGTGATCAATGCCTTATAACTGTGGTCGAGCTCGCTGATCAACAGAATGCTGTTGGTCCACACGGACAACTCTACAGTAGCATTCTCCATAAATCGGCAAGGATCTACAAGGTCACCAAGCCTTCTACAGCTCACATTCCAGTTGTTTGACATCACGGAGGAAGCAAACATCTGGATAAAGGAGTGTCACATACCCGGAGCCAAGAACGTGCTTGCAGACGCTCTCTCCGACCACTGCACCCATCACCTACAGATGGATGCTCCATCCAGAAGCATTTCGGCTCATCATACGTGAAATAAGATCCCCATGCATAGACCTGTTTGCCACGAGGTTCAACAAACAACTACAGACGTTTGTCTCACCAGTTCCATATCCTCAAGCCTGGGCAACAGATGCACTGAGCATATCATGGGAAGGACTAAACGCTTACGGTTTTTTCACCCCGATATTACTACCGAAAGTACTGTTGAAGATCCAACAGACACAGGCGCTACAACTGACTTTGGTCGCTCCCCATTGGCCATCGTGAGTATGGTTCCTAGACCTAATAGAAGATCTCGGAAGTCCAACAATCAAGTTACCAGAATGGCCGAACCTACTCATACATCCGCACACCAAGCAAGTCCACAGGAACCCAGTACTGTTCCAGCTACATGTGTGGACCGTCTCAAAACATGTTTGAAGAAAAGAGTATACTCCGCCAGGGCAGCCAAGGCAGTAACCTTAGCGTTACGCAGATCCACTCGTAACCTGTATGATGACAAATGGCTGAAGTTTAAGACATATGCAAGGCGGAAAGGTTTCATTGCTATGAAAGCTACTCATCCTCAAGTGGTGGAATACCTGTGTCATCTTAGACATACTAGACATCTGAAGGTTCGATATTATCCACGTATCTCGCTGCCATCAGTACAGTGATCACCATGAAGACAGGCATCAAGTTGACGAAAGTACCAGAATTACTTGCTCTGCTGAGATCTTTTAAACTGGAGGACCAGCAAAAGAAAATTCAGAGCTCTGGCCTGGGATCTGAATGTAATTCTATGTCATCTCACGAGTAATGCCTACGAACCTCTAGATCAGACTACCTTCGATCTGCTTACACAGAAGACTCTGTTCCTGCTTGCACTAGCCACGGCAGCTCGAATGTCAGAGATACATGCACTGGACTTTGGTCAAACTAGATTCGACACGGGGCAACATGCTGCAGTTCATCCAGGACTTAGATGGGACTTTATTGCTAAGAACTAACTACCTGGTCAACCAGATAGACAGTTCCACATACTAGCGCTATCCACAATCCTCGGACCAGAGGATACGCAGGACCTATCCTTGTGTCCGGTCAGAGCCCTGAAGATATATCTTCAAAAGACTAAAACAAGGAGACGAAAATTCAAGCGCCTGTTCATCACGTTATCCACAGAGACATCAGCAAAAGTCTCAAGAACGACAATATCATTCTGGATGAGAGCCGTCATATTGAGAGCCTATAAAGCAGCAGGAATAGAACCTCCAAGAGCTTCCAACCCACACGAAGTCAGAGCACTGGCGTCAACACTAACTCTGCACGGAAATTGCTCTATATCAGCAATTATGGAGGGCTGCTTTTGGAAGTCTGACACAGCGTTTGCCAACCACTACCTCCGAGACATAGCCACCGAAGACGTCTCCGGCATTCACCAATTTGGGCCTCTCATTGTTGCACAGCAACTAACGGCTCCACTAAGGCGCTGAGTTGGAAAATCTCACCCCTTATCACGTTGACTTGTTGATAACTTTTACTGAGGAAAAGTATTAGTTTGAAAGTCCATACGCACTGTCTAGGACAGACTAGCATGAGTGATTAAAGACCCTATACGGGTAAAGATCTTACCTGTACATTAAGGAGTCGCAACTCATTTATGATAAAGACCGTAACATAGTTTATGGGTTGTTATAGATATCTAGTAAAAAGAAGATACTAGTATGTCTTAAGCCACATGAATCAACATGATTCAACTTGTCTGAGATGGAAGTAAGGCAAGAAAGTGGTCCCCCCGAGTTATAACGGAAGTTGGAAGAATAGGATCTCGGAAATGCTGTTACGCAGTTCCCATGGGGGGGATACAGGACGTATCTAAGGACAGCTGATGAATCCAGGAAGTGGCTTGACCCACCACCAATCCGAAGGATTCTATAAGCAAAAGATCCTGAGTCAGGATAAGAAAAAATATGTAATTTTTCAAGTAAAATTGATATTTTATACTTATCCTGACTCATGAGGTTGAGCCCTCCCAACCTCCCCGCTGGAGACACTTTGGATTTCACAGTAGATCCAAGTGCATGGGCAGAAAAATCAGCAGAGAGTGACAAGTAAAGCTGGTCACATGACTGTTTGCGCGGGAAAAGGGAGGTAACTCGTGGGTGAGTGTACTTTTACATCCTCATTGGGAACTTCAAGGGATTCAAGTGTTCCACTACCATTCGCATAGGAAAGGGAGATAAGCAAAAGATCATGAGTCAGGATAAGTGTAAAATATTAATTTTACATTTATTATTATTAAAATTACATTTTTTAAAAGCATTGACCCACGGGGATGCGGGTTCGAATTGGTCTTCAGCAACCCATGCTTGTCATAAGAGGCGACTAGTCATCGTATTCCAGTTGTGTTGATCACTGGATTGATCACTGCATATTCTGCATATTTGCGAAAACAAGGCCCTGTAAAAACAATTAATTGATGTCACTGGAGGTTTAATGTATGTGTGTTAGTCCGATATGTATTCGCTATACTTGTCACAGTTAGTGTGAATGATATCATATAATCTCATTGGTTCTTTCATACCAGGTTATGCCCTTGACCCCAGTAACGACCAGGCCGAAGTTGACAAGGTTGTCGGGGACAACACAGCTGCAGAGGATAACAAAGGTATGTACAGACCTCAAACATGTCCCCATCGTACAGCTGGATTCAGGGATAGACTTAGACCCCATGTAAACTATGGGCTTGGTGGTCAGACTCACTGACTTGGTTCACTGGGAGACATGGTCATCTCCCACTGACAGTGTAGAACGTCTCTCATCAGTGGTCAGACTCACTGACTTGGTTCATTGGGAGACATGGTCATCTCCCACTGACAGTGTAGAACGTCTCTCATCAGTGGTCAGACTCACTGACTTGGTTCACTGGGAGACATGGTCATCTCCCACTGACAGTGTAGAACGTCTCTCATCAGTGGTCAGACTCACTGACTTGGTTCATTGGGAGACATGGTCATCTCCCACTGACAGTGTAGAACGTCTCTCATCAGTGGTCAGACTCACTGACTTGGTTCATTGGGAGACATGGTCATCTCCCACTGACAGTGTAGAACGTCTCTCATCAGTGGTCAGACTCACTGACTTGGTTCATTGGGAGACGTCATCTCCCACTGACAGTGTAGAACGTCTCTCATCAGTGGTCAGACTCACTGACTTGGTTCATTGGGAGACATGGTCATCTCCCACTGACAGTGTAGAACGTCTCTCATCAGTGGTCAGACTCACTGACTTGGTTCATTGGGAGACATGGTCATCTCCCACTGACAGTGTAGAACGTCTCTCATCAGTGGTCAGACTCACTGACTTGGTTCACTGGGAGACATGGTCATCTCCCACTGACAGTGTAGAACGTCTCTCATCATATCAGCCACATATATTTCCATGTTGCCAGACTAGACTTGATACAGGTCATACATTCTCTCTGAATGACTCCACTAAACTAGAAACACTTGATAACCTGATACTGTCATTATGTACAGGTTTAATCCTCCACTCCACATCATTTTCAATACCTGATGACATGGATCATTTAGAAGAAACTGAATGTAACTGGATAAATGAACTGGGTTCCTTGAATCTCTTGACCAAGAGATTTGAATTCTTGTAGAGCGTCAGTCTTAAATTCAGTCAGTGAATCTTCCAATCAACACATTATCCTTAGCTGATACCCATTGCATTTTTGTTATGTCATTGTTATTCATCAGTTTCATCAGTACATTTTTGGTTTATTTCATTCATGCACTTTTTGCAAGAGATATATCATGTATATGGCATAGGATATTTTCATAGTTTTATCTTGTTTTGATAACGCATTCAGCATTTGATAACGATGTTATGAATAACAGTCAGTCACAATAAACAGATCTGTTTGGAGGTTTTCAGAAGGATATTATGGTTACAGTTACTGTTACTCATAAGCTACTATCCCTTGGTTTAAAGCAGTACTTGTGTTCATATTCACATTGTGTCATCTGTAATGTGATGATTGCCCAAGGGCTGTTGCCATGCTTCACGCTGGTAGAATCCAGTGAGATGGCTACCTGGTAGTATGTTCAGTGTGTCTCATTCTGTCATGTGCAGATTTGCAGATTGACTTCAACATTTGTTTATATTTTTGATGCATTTAAAACATCTTGACTTTCTGAACTGAATAATTTAGTTGTATATGTAGTTTCAAATTTTAGGACAGGTCAAATTTAATAACCAGCTAAATTGATCAGATGCAACACATGCAGTAACTAACAAATGCTTTTTGGTCAGTAGTCCTCGAAGACATTATATCAATATGTTATTGCATGATTATTGTAAGGTTAGTAAGTTGTTCATGATCTTAATCCACAATACTGGCAGGTATTACAGTGTTTGAAGTAAAACCAAGTGCTGGTGCAAAACGAAAGAAAGAAAAGAATAGAGACCCGGCAGATATTGATGGCTACCTTGGACCCTGGGCAAAGTATGCTGATGAGCAAACTGTTATGAAGCCCAGTGAGGTAAGTGTCCGCTGCACTATTGATATCTCTGCTGTATATCTCCATATACCACTTTAAGTGTCTGTATCACCTTATCAGTTACTGTGTTCAGGTAGGAAAGTGACCTGGAAGACGTAGCACTCGGTCAGGTAATACTATCTTGAATCCTTCATGGCACTACAGCCCTGCGTGTTGTAAAGTGTCTGTTAATGTCATGTCAATATGCCTGTTGAGAATTGTTGAGCAAGAACTGCTTTCATTTAAGTGTTAGGTTCTCCATGGACTCTACCTGTTTCAGATGTTGTTATTATAGTTTGAAACCTCTGATGGAATGCGACTGTATATCTTCACTGTGTGTCCTTCCAGGAGGAGCAGAAGGAGCTGGATGAGATCCTGGCCAAGAGAAGCAAGCACAGCAAGCAGGTCGAGGAAAAACCCATGGAGGAGAAGACAACTCTACACAGTGCGTTCCTAATTCTCCCTACAGCAGATTTGAGTTTGTCTTTACTACCAGACACAGTTTTATCCTTTGTCAGTTTGCTTATTAATCTGCCAGACAAAACTGCAGCAACAACACACATTCCACATACAAAACTGGATCATTATTTCATACTAATGTGATGGTTTGAATGATAAGTGCCTTGTGATGCAGTGGATTGAAATCCTGTATTTATGGGATTTGAAAAAATACATATTTATTTACTGATAGCATGAAAATGTTTGTTTCTAGTTAAAGATGCATATGACTACCAAGGCCGGTCATTCCTCCATGCACCACAAGATGTTGGGGTCAACTTGCGGTCAGAGGAGCCACCAGAGAAATGTTTCTTGCCAAAGAAGTTGATTCACACCTGGTCAGGCCACAGTAAGGGTGTGGCAGCCATCAGGTGGTACCCCCATACTGCTCACCTCATGTTGTCTGCTGGTATGGACACAAAAATCAAAGTAAGAACAATAAATTTACAGTTATCTCCCTTCCATTGATTTGCATTTGCTAAACAATTGTAATTTCCATACATCATACGTGATTCAATTATTCGAGAAAAAGAATGACTAACATGCAGTGTGCGAAATAGCCACTGGCCCGCTAGCCGTGGCTAGTCAAAATCCAGTCAGGCCAGTAAATCCCCACAGTCACTGCCCCAACTTGCTAGTGAATTTTCATGGGGTCATTTTGTAAATATTTCACTCTCTCTGACTTGTTAAGTTATTTAATCATAAACAAAATAATTCAGAAATTCAGACATGTGTACTTTTATTTGTTTTTGATAGTATTTTACCTTTTGCTTGGTTTCTACATTTAAATTTCAGGCTAGTGAATTATTTTGTGTGCTAGCACGTAACTTTCAGGCAATGCTAGCCAGACTAGCAAAATTTGGAAACTATTTTGCACATTGCTAACACGAAGTACTGAATGAATTCCCACAGTTCGGCATTCTCAGTGGGCAACATAGAAAATGTTACTCGCTTGCTAGCGGGGTACACTGAAAATAATAGAAGAGCACTCAGACATCATAAAATGACATTTATGTGTGAGATAAGATAAAATCTCAGCATTTCGGGGTAAACAGTTTTGTATTGTCTACTATATGGTTAGTGAACTAATATGGGTTAGCTGCAATATTTATGAAAAATACTTCTTTTTGCTTCAATTTGTAATGACAAAATATCCATATCCAGATTTGGGAGGTATACAATGAGCGGGTGTGTGTACGAACATACGCAGGCCATAAGCAGGCCGTGAGAGACATCACCTTCAACAACGAAGGCAATGAGTTCCTTAGCTGTGGCTATGACAGATACTGCAAGTTGTGGGACACAGAGACAGGTGAGTAGGACACAGAGACAGGTGAAGGGTGGGATACAGAGACAGGTGAGTAGGCTACAGAGACAGGTGAGGGGTGGGACACAGAGACAGGTGAGTAGGATACAGAGACAGGTGAGTAGGACACAGAGACAGGTGAGGGGTGGGACACAGAGACAGGTGAAGGGTGGGATACAGAGACAGGTGAGTCAGCTACAGAGACAGGTGAGGGGTGGGACAGAGAGACAGGTGAGTAGGATACAGAGACAGGTGAGTAGGACACAGAGACAGGTGAGGGGTGGGACACAGAGACAGGTGAAGGGTGGGATACAGAGACAGGTGAGTAGGCTACAGAGACAGGTGAGGGGTGGGACACAGAGACAGGTGAGTAGGATACAGAGACAGGTGAGTAGGACACAGAGACAGGTGAGGGGTGGGACACAGAGACAGGTGAAGTGTAGGGTACAGAGACAGGTGAGTAGGCTACAGAGACAGGTGAGGGGTGGGACACAGAGACAGGTGAGTAGGATACAGAGACAGGTGAGTAAGACACAGAGACAGGTGAGGGGTGGGACACAGAGACAGGTGAGTAGGCTACAGAGACAGGTGAGGGGTGGGACACAGAGACAGGTGAGTAGGATTCAGAGACAGGTGAGTAAAACACAGAGACAGGTGAGGGGTGGGACACAGAGACAGGTGAGTAGGATACAGAGACAGGTGAAGGAGGGGACACAGAGACAGATGAGTAGGATACAGAGACAGGTGAGGGGTGGGACACAGAAACAGGTGAGTAGGCTACAGAGACAGGTGAGTAGGACACAGAGACAGGTGAGGGGTGGGACACAGAGACAGGTGAAGGGTGGGATACAGAGACAGGTGAGTAGGCTACAGAGACAGGTGAGGGGTGGGACAGAGAGACAGGTGAGTAGGATACAGAGACAGGTGAGTAGGACACAGAGACAGGTGAGGGGTGGGACACAGAGACAGGTGAAGGGTGGGATACAGAGACAGGTGAGTAGGCTACAGAGACAGGTGAGGGTGGGACACAGAGACAGGTGAGTAGGATACAGAGACAGGTGAGTGGGACACAGAGACAGGTGAGGGGTGGGACACAGAGACAGGTGAAAGGTGGGATACAGAGACAGGTGAGTAGGCTACAGAGACAGGTGAGGGTGGGACAGAGAGACAGGTGAGTAGGATACAGAGACAGGTGAGGAGTAGGACACAGAGACAGGTGAGGGGTGGGACACAGAGACAGGTGAAGGGTGGGATACAGAGACAGGTGAGTAGGCTACAGAGACAGGTGAGGGGTGGGACACAGAGACAGGTGAGTAGGATACAGAGACAGGTGAGTAGGACACAGAGACAGGTGAGGGGTGGGACACAGAGACAGGTGAAGTGTAGGGTACAGAGACAGGTGAGTAGGCTACAGAGACAGGTGAGGGGTGGGACACAGAGACAGGTGAGTAGGATACAGAGACAGGTGAGTAAGACACAGAGACAGGTGAGGGGTGGGACACAGAGACAGGTGAGTAGGCTACAGAGACAGGTGAGGGGTGGGACACAGAGACAGGTGAGTAGGATTCAGAGAGGGTAGGACACAGAGGAGGTGAGGGTAGGACACAGAGGTGGTGAGATGAGGGTAGGACACAGAGGAGGTGAGGGTAGGACACAGAGGTGGTGAGATGAGGGTAGGACACAGGTCGTGAGGTTAGGGGAACTGCACAGAGGTGATGAGGTGAGGGTAGGACACAGGTGGTGAGGTGAAGGTAGGACACAGAGGTGGTGAGGTGAGGGGTAGGACACAGAGGTGGTGATGTGAGGGTAGGACACAGGTCGTGAGGTGAGGGTAGGACACAGAGGTGGTGAGGTGAGGGTAGGACACAGAGACTGTTGAAAGGTAAGACACAGGCAGTTAAGGGGTGGGTGACAGACTGTTGAAGGGTAGGACATAGGTATTTAAGGGGTAGGGGACAGACTGTTGAAGGGTAGGACACAGGTATTTAAGGGATAGGGGACAGACACAGGTATTGAGTATAGCAGCTTCTCACCTTGTACGGGGGCGGTATGGTAGCCTAGTGGTTAAAGCATTCAGTTCATCACGCCAAAGACCCGGATTTGATTCCCCACATGCGTACAATGTGCAAAGCCCATTTCTGGTGTCCCCCCACCTTGATGTTTCTGGAATATTGCTAAAGTGGCGTAAAACCACACTCACTGACTCACTCTCACCTTGTACAACAACGTGATACTATTCATATACCTTCTCCTTCCAGTTACATTACTTCATTAACTCGTTGGTTCAGAGTCAGGTTAATCAGTTTAGATGAGTTTCGTTTTTGTATTTTCTGTCTATTTGAGCACATAGAAATGTACTGGGATCCATGCGTTATGTTTGTTTGGCTGAGCACAGCATGATATATTTGTTCTTGTACACCAGGTCAGTGCAAGTCCCACTTCACCAGCCGGAAGGTGCCTTACTGCATCAAGTTTAACCCAGACAAGGACAAGCAACATCTGTTTGTGGCTGGAACTTCAGATAAAAAGATTGTGTGTGTAAGTATTTTGCTTTTTGGCAGCTAAGTGTGTGAGTTCTTGCTTTCATTGCATCACAGTATACAACAATGTGGAACATTCACAGGAACCACCTTGCTCCCAGCTTGATCCTGGTTACCTTGTCGTCTCTACCTTCATTGCCCAAAACGATGTGTGAGCATTCCTCTTAAACTACAGTTAGGAATAGACTCAGATATTCATATTTCTGTGCTTTGGGGGTATAATTGAAACTAAACATGGTTAGCCACTTCTCTTGTTGTCTGTTCATTTCATGTTCTGTATGTAGGACCTGGTGAATTACTACTGTTTTGTATTGTGATGGTCAAGTGTGCCAATTACGCTAACTACTCCAGACAAAGATGACACAACAAGACAGTGATAAATTTTTCCTTATCCTGACTCATGCTCTTTTGCTTGTCTTCTTCTTGCGAACATAGTGGAACACTTGTATCTCCTTAATTGAAGCTCCCTTCAATGTAAAATCACTAATTAGTACTCACCAAGAGTTGCCTCCCTTTGCCCCTGCGCGGGAAAGGCGGCGCCACCTTCTGGCCTCATGCTTCACTCTCTCCTTCTTCGCCCAGTGAGCAGGATGTGAGAGCGCCTGTGTCCTTACACACTATATCCTTTGGTTATTCTTATTTAGTTACCTCCTATAGGTTACTATAGAGGTATAGCTAGTATCCTTCATTAATGTGTATTGATAATTACTCGTATTTCTACTGTTTTTTCACGGGAGTTCGTGATTGTTCAGCTAGTTTACGTTGATGAAAATCTGTACTATTTGTAGATTACGTTTTTCTGCTGCTGACCCGCATGTAATATGCCCTAGTTGTTCTACGCCTTGTGCGTTTGATTCACGTTGCAGTTACTGTATTAATCTATCTAATTCTGCTTTTAATAAATATCATCTTTGCGTCTTGAGACATGCAGCAGATAGGTCACGCAAACAAGGGTTAGACATGGCCGATACATCGGAACCCCTAGCCAGTCAGCTGCTGTTGGTCGACCCCTCCCGTCTGGTGTTCCGCTAGAGTTTCCCTCGGAGGAGGGGCGTGGGATGCAGTCCGCCGCCTCCAAGAAGCATCCTGCTTCCCCAGACATCCCGTCATCGCAGCCAAAGTCTAAGAGGGCCTCGACGTCTACTCAACGCAGACTCCGTACCCCCAGGGCAGCGTCTACCTCCAAGGGAAAGTCTACGAAGTCGTCAAGAACCTTCTCAGCCGAGATTGTTCCATCCCTGCCGAACTGGGCCTCTACGATGATCAGCCGATCATCATCCCCGACCTACGCCACAAGAGACGACCGGTGACAGCTACAGTGACGTCAGCAGAGATCGCCATGCAGCCTGATGTGTCTACACCGATGTCGGACGATCTCCCTGAGGGCCCCGCCGCTAACATCGCAGAGAGGGCACCGACTACATCGTCGCAGACCGTCCCAGATGAACTGATGCGGCAAATCATGATCATGATGGAGGACCACTACAGACTGGAGAAACAACCAGCCCAGGGCCTGAGCTCCAACGTAAACGACACCCCAGAGGGACCCCCCGTCAACATAGCGGCCACGACGAAGCCACCTTTGCGAAGGAAGTCACAGACCACCTCGACGAAGGACCCAGATGTACAGCCTTCGCGAAGGCGGGATAGATCATCACCTACCTCGGCTTCATCCTTAGATGCGGACTCGGACCACCAGACTTCACGAAAGCCTTAGCGAAGGTCAAGTCGCCGTTCCCCAGGACCGGACGCAGAGGAAGCTTCGCGAAGGCCTTCGCGAAGGGCACCTTTATCAGGCTCCATATCATCTTCGTCCAGAAGGACATCGAGGGATTCCACAAGAGCTTCGCGAAGCTATCAACATTCACCTCACAGATCTCCGCGAAGGTCAACCCATAGACGCAGATCGTCAGGACGTTCACCAAGACGATCCCCTCGCCATTCTCCATGCCGATCACCTCGCCGTTCACCGCGCCGATCTCCTCGTACATCACCACGTCGATCTCCTCGCAGGTCACCACACAAGTCTTCACAGAAGTCCACAGTCAGGTCTCCCCTAACGTCACCCGGTACAGTGGTAGAAGCACACAGTCCACCATCTGAAGAGCATCAACCTCTCATCAGCGATCCTGGGGTAGAAGATGATGGAGGCATCATTTTCTCAGACGCTGAGATACGATATTGGATGGTAAACAACCTAGACCTTTCTTCACCTTCCAAGAGTGGTAACTAGGCGCATACTTACCTGATGAAGGAGGACGATGCAGACGCCGTCACCTTACCTCCGATCGACCCGATTGCTGCGGTGCCACAGAATCTGGACACAGCCTTCCATAAAGCCACGAAAGTTCAGACGCCACACCTACCGAACTTTCACGCTAAGAAGTTTTCAACTCATAATATGGACCCCTTCCTCAAGGCACAAGACATCGATGACAATTACAAGATGATCAGCGATGTCAAGAATAAGAACTATAAGATTGGCGATCGCAAGCTGGTGCAGATAGAAACCATGACGAGACGCATGTTCTTTGGCCTTAATAGATCTAGAACGATCAATGAGACTCTTATCACCAGATTTCGTGACACGACTTCTGAAGATGATAGGATGATCTACTCGGCCCTACTGATGCAAAAGAAGGACCAGCAGTTCCTAACGGATCATCTCACATCAGTCTCAGCAGCGCTAACCTTAGCTCGTCGTCAAGGCCTCCTCGCTTCCTGCAGCTGGGGTGAGCAGTTTACAGCTCCACTCTATACAGCCCCCGTGGTCCTCCCCATCCATCTTTGACGGAGGAATAGAGAAAGTCTCCAAGGAAGTCACTAAGGATTCTAGAGAAGTCCTTATGATTAAGTCGATGGACACGCTAGCCAGCGTCATCAGGCAGACTTCACAAAGATATTCAGGGAAATCTAAATTCACTGGATTACAGAGAGCACGGGATAGGAAGATGGCCAGCTCCAGGGGAAAAGATTCTTTTCGTCGCCCATATGGCAACTACAGAGGAGGATCAGGAAGAGGCAGGGCACCCAGAGGTTCCGCAACTATAAAGCGTTGAAAGACAGGTTGAACGACTGGAGTCTTCCACCCCCAGCCGTTCCAGTACAACCGTCACAAGTGGGTGGACGCCTTCAACTGCACTGGGAGAACTGGGGAATGTTACAAGACCCTTATGTCTCCAACATTCTTCAACACGGATATCGTATCCCACTACAGGCCACGCCTCCGCTGACAGTCAGCCCTCACAAGTTCGACTTCCAGGCACAACAACTACCAAAGTTAAGAGAGGCTGTTACATCGCTCTTAACCAAGCAGGCCATAGAAGTACTAGATCAAGTAAACGTCGAACCAGGCTTCTACTCCCCAGTTTTCCTAGTACCCAAGAAAAACTCCAAGGAGAAATACAGACTCATTTACAACATGAGCATATTCAACAGAGATTATCTACGCAAACCGCCAACGTTTCGCATGATACATCTACCTCAGTTACGGCAGTTGATTCGTCCCATGGATTACATGGCCAGTATAGATCTGCAAGACGCATATCTACACATCCCGATACATCCCGAATCCAGGAAATACCTACGATTTACACTAGACAGGCTGCATTACCAATGGAAAGTACTCCTATTCGGAATATCATCGGCCCCCTGGCTATTCACAAGGATAACGAAACCTATCGTCACCTATCTACATCGTCTAGGGCTACGCAGTGCGTTCTACCTCGACGACGGGATACAAGTAGATCAAGATCCACAGCGTCTCAAACTACAGTTAAACTACATCATAAAGCTACTAACACAGTTAGGATGGTTAGTAAACTTACTCAAGTCGGACCTAGTACCATCGCAAGATCTGCAATTTCTAGGCATTCGATTTATCACGACTCTCAACCGTATCGTCGTGCCAGAAAACCGATGGCTCAAGATCCAACAGACCATTCCTCTAGCCCTACTCTCTCCGTTACCACTACGACATTGGCAGAGCCTGTTGGGTCTCCTCACGTCAGCCCAAGACATGACAGTCAGAGGCAGAATACAGTTACGTCCGTTACAGGTCTTCATCAATGCACATCTCGACGACCTACAACCATTCAGTCTACCGAAACACCTCAGACCTCATCTACTATGGTGGACCAGGAGGTCGAATGTCTGCGAAGGTATTTGTTTAACAGAGCAGGAATTCAAAACCCATCTATATGTAGACGCGTCGCTCCAGGGTTGGGGAGCTCATCTCGCCAACCGGACGGCTTCAGGGTTATGGAATCAGCAAGAAAGCAAGCTCCATATAAACATGTTAGAGATGAAAGCGGTAATCAACGCCATACTTCATTGGAGCACCATTCTACAAAATCGCATCTGATGATTCATACCGACAACTCGACAGTGGCGTTTTATGTGAACAAACAAGGCTCAACGAGATCACTGAACCTATTGACTTTATGCTTTCAACTGTTCGATCTAATCGACGATCTCAACTTACATGTCAGAGCATGTCACATTCCCGGAGCCAAGAATGTACTAGCAGACGCACTCTCTCGGACACAACTACCGTCACCGACATAATGGATGCTCCATACAGAAATTTTTGCACAGATTATCAAGGAAATAGGAGCTCCACTAGTAGATCTATTCGCCACTCGCTTCAACAATCAGCTACCGACATTCGTATCGCCAGTCCGGACCCACAAGCATGGGCAACGCTCTAAGCATATCCTGGGAAGGCCTCAATGCGATGCAGCGTTTCGCCGCCAGTGATAATCCCTCAAGTGTTACAGAAAATCAGACAAACACAGAGCCTCCAACTCACTTTGGTCGCGCCCTACTGGCCAGCCAGAACGTGGTTTCCCATTCTAATTCAAGAAATCGGACAACCAACACTAGAGCTACCAAAGCTTCGAATCTATTAGTACATCCACACACCAAACAGGTGCACGGAAGCCCAGAAGTATTCCAACTTCGCATTATGGACTGTATTAAAATGTGTTTAAACAAGGGAGGGTATTCAACCAGAGCGCAAAAGCAGTCACGCTTGCGCCTTTACGGCTATTCTACACGTGGCAATGCGGCGACACAGTGGCACAGTTTTGAAAAATTACGCAGCAAATAAAGGGATTTACAGCGAGAGATGCTACACATTCACAAGTGGCAGATTATTTGTGTTACCTCGCCAAAACAAACATTTAAAAGGCTCGACATTGTCAACATATCTTGCGCGCTTAGTTCTGTGATAACTATGAGAACGGGTGTCAAGCTAACCAAGACGCCAGAGTTACTGGCCTTACTACGTGCTTTCCGATTGGAAGATCAGAAGCGGAAGTTCCATGCCCCAGCTTGGGATCTGAATATAGTACTCCAACACCTCACAAGTGAGGCTTATGAACCGTTGGAATCGACAACCTTTGAATTTCTCTCACAGAAAACGCTTTTCCTGTTATCTCTAGCTCACGGCAGCCAGGATGTCAGAAATTCACGCGCACTAGATTATGAGAGGATACAGTTTGATGACAATCAAAACACAGCGCACCTGGGATTAAGATGGGATTTCATCGCCAAAAATCAATTGCCAGGTCAACCAGACAGATTATTCCATATTCCTGCACTCTCCTCGATTCTCGGATCTCAAGATACACTGGACTTATCTCTATGCCCAGTCAGAGCTCTCAAAATCTATTTACGACGTTCTAAAACAAGGCTGACGATTTCTCAAGCGATTATTCATCCCCTTATCGGCAACAACTCAGACAGAAGTCTCGCATTACCACCATATCTATATGGATAAGAACTGTCATACTTGCACCTACAAGGCGGCAGGGACTTCGAACAGCATCAAATCCCCATGAGATCAGGGCATTGGCTTCCACACTTCGCTCTACCACGGTAACTGTTCATTAAATACAATCATGGAAGGATGCTTTTGGAAATCTAACATGGTGTTTGCTAATCAGTATCTGAGAGATATCACCACCGAGGGCGTCTCAGGTATTCACCATTTTGGTCCCTTGGTCCTCGCACAGCAGTTGACAGTCCCTCGTAGACGTTAACACATAGTCTTACGAGATTATTATGTATATTTCATACCAGTATTATCTAGCTTATAACTCTACGGAGTTTTAGGGCTATTTATATACTTAGCTTAAGTCTACTCAGCTTTAAGCTTATACTGATGATTATGTTCAGTTGTATAGCTTCTCCTTGTCGGAGTCGCTTTTATATCTTTATTGCTATTATCATAGTATATTATTATTGTAATACCCCATCTATGGCAATGTATAAACTTATGGTTTATAGTAGAGGAATTATCCTAAGTCAGTGCCATTTGTTGGGCTCGCTATATCAGGAGAGAGTGAAGCATGAGGCCAGAAGGTGGCGCCGCCTTTCCCGCGCAGGGGCAAAGGGAGGCAACTCTTGGTGAGTACTAATTAGTGATTTTACATTGAAGGGAGCTTCAATTAAGGAGATACAAGTGTTCCACTATGTTCGCAAGAAGAAGAAGACAAGCAAAAGAGCATGAGTCAGGATAAGTATAAAATATCAATTTTACTCTAAAAATTACATTATTATATTGTACTAAAAGTCTTGGTTAGAGGTTGCAAGTCCCGACTAGGACATCAGGTAAGGGGATATGGTTAAAGGGGAGGTAACTGCAAGTGTACTGGTGTATGTTTACAGTGGGACATCAGATCGGGCGAGGTGGTGCAGGAGTACGATCGCCATCTTGGAGCTGTGAACAGCATCACATTTGTTGACCAGAACCGTAGATTTGTAACAACTTCTGATGACAAAAGTTTAAGAGTTTGGGAGTGGTGAGTGTCCAGATCATTGTATATATGGTAAATATGACATGCTGAATATGACATAAATGTGTATGATAAGCTTATTGTGAAATGATGTAAATCTGTGTTACTTACTTGAAGTGTACTGACCTAAATGTGTGACATGCTTGAAGTGTAATGACCTAAATGTGTGACATGCTTGAAGTGTAATGACATAAATGTGTGACATGCTTGAAGTGTAATGACCTAAATCTGTGACATGCTTGAAGTGTAATGACCTAAATCTGTGACATGCTTGAAGTGTAATGACCTAAATCTGTGACATGCTTGAAGTGTAATGACCGAAATCTGTGACATGCTTGAAGTGTACTGACCTAAATGTGTGACATGCTTGAAGTGTAATGACATAAATGTGTGACATGCTTGAAGTGTAATGACCTAAATCTGTGACATGCTTGAAGTGTAATGACCTAAATGTGTGACATGCTTGAAGTGTAATGACATAAATGTGTGACATGCTTGAAGTGTAATGACCTAAATCTGTGACATGCTTGAAGTGCACTGACATAAATGTGTGACATGCTTGACTGACTGACTGACTGAGTTTAGTTTTACGCCGCTTTTAGCAGTATTCCAGCAATATCACGGCTGGGGACACCAGAAATGGGCTTAACACATTGTGCCCATGTGGGGAATCGAACCCGGGCCTTCGGCGTGACGAGCCAACGCTTTAACCACTAGGCTACCCTACCGCCCCGTGACATGCTTGAAGTGTAATGACATAAATGTGTTTTCTATGCTAGTATATATTGATTACTTCTTTGACATTAAGCTTTCTGAGTGAAATACATGATGATGAAGTATATTTGTTGTCTTTAGAGAAATATATATATGCTAATCTTTCATCATATCTAGGGACATTCCAGTAGATTTCAAGTACATTGCAGACCCATCCATGCACTCGATGCCATCTGTAACTCTCTCTCCTAACGGTAAGCTGCTCTTGTCATTCTCCAAATGGTACACCTCTAATGTTGGTAGTATCACTGTTAAAGGTTGATACCACCATTGTGGTCTAGTAGATAGAGTTTTATTAGGAGTTTAGAAGGGCTGTGGTTCAATCACAAGTAATGAAGTACCAAAACATGTCAAACAATGGTACTTGTTACCCAGCCTGATGCTTGGGCATCAGTGGGATGAAATCAGAATGTGTCACCTCGGTATTGTCTGTGAGGTAGCCATGTTTAAATGCAATGTGTTATCTCAGTGATATCAATTTTTATCCAATATGGACTGGTACAAGTTACAAACACAGACATACACACATGCATGGCAGGGTCCCAGTGGGTCCAATTCTTTTCATACCCAGGGCTGATACTCCACTACTTGACTGCTTGACCCTCTCTCTGTCCTAATAGTTGGCTGCTCTGGTTAGTCTCTTTCCTTGAGGTAGACCACTCCTGTTGACCCTCTCTGTCCTAATAGTTGGCTGCTCTGATTAGTCTCTTTCCTTGTGGTAGACCACTCCTGTTGACCCTCTCTGTCCTAATAGTAGGCTGCTCTGGTTAGTCTCTTCCCTTGTGGTAGACCACTCCTGTTGACCCTCTCTGTCCTAATAGTTGGCTGCTATGGTCAGTCTCTTTCCTTGAGGTAGACCACTCCTGTTGACCCTCTCATCCTAATAGTTGGCTGCTCTGGTTAGTCTCTTTCCTTGAGGTAGACCACTCCTGTTGACCCTCTCTGTCCTAATAGTTGGCTGCTCTGGTTAGTCTCTTTCCTTGTGGTAGACCACTCCTGTTGACCCTCTCTGTCCTAATAGTAGGCTGCTCTGGTTAGTCTCTACCCTTGTGGTAGACCACTCCTGTTGACCCTCTCATCCTAATAGTTGGCTGCTCTGGTTAGTCTCTTTCCTTGAGGTAGACCACTCCTGTTGACCCTCTCTGTCCTAATAGTTGGCTGCTCTGGTTAGTCTCTTTCCTTGTGGTAGACCACTCCTGTTGACCCTCTCTGTCCTAATAGTAGGCTGCTCTGGTTAGTCTCTACCCTTGTGGTAGACCACTCCTGTTGACCCTCTCTGTCCTAATAATAGGCTGCTCTGATTAGTCTCTTCCCTTGTGGTAGACCACTCCTGTTGACCCTCTCTGTCCCAATAGTTGGCTGCTCTGATTAGTCTCTTTCCTTGTGGTAGACCACTTCTGTTGACCCTCTCTGTCCTAATAGTAGGCTTCTCTGGTTAGTCTCTTCCCTTGTGGTAGACCACTCCTGTTGACCCTCTCTGTCCTAATAGTTGGCTGCTCTGGTTAGTGTCTTCCCTTGTGGTAGACCACTCCTGTTGACCCTCTCTGTCCTAATAGTAGGCTGCTCTGGTTAGTCTCTTCCCTTGTGGTAGACCACTCCTGTTGACCTTCTCTGTCCTAATAATTGGCTGCTCTGGTTAGTCTCTTTCCTTGAGGTAGACCACTCCTGTTGACCCTCTCTGTCCTAATAGTTGGCTGCTCTGGTTAGTCTCTTCCTTTGTGGTAGACCACTCCTGTTGACCCTCTCATCCTAATAGTTGGCTGCTCTGGTTAGTCTCTTTCCTTGAGGTAGACCACTCCTGTTGACCCTCTCATCCTAATAGTTGGCTGCTCTGGTTAGTCTCTTTCCTTGTGGTAGACCACTCCTGTTGACCCTCTCATCCTAATAGTTGGCTGCTCTGGTTAGTCTCTTTCCTTGAGGTAGACCACTCCTGTTGACCCTCTCTGTCCTAATAGTTGGCTGCTCTGGTTAGTCTCTTTCCTTGAGGTAGACCACTCCTGTTGACCCTCTCATCCTAATAGTTGGCTGCTCTGATTAGTCTCTTTCTGCTTGATTGGTAGACCACTCCCTGTTGACCTCTCTCTTTGTAATAGTTGGCTGCTCTGGTTAGTCTCTTTCCTTGAGGTAGACCACTCCTGTTGACCCTCTCATCCTAATAGTTGGCTGCTCTGATTAGTCTCTTTCCTTGTGGTAGACCACTCCTGTTGACCCTCTCTTTTGTAATAGTTGGCTGCTCTGGTTAGTCTCTTTCCTTGAGGTAGACCACTCCTGTTGACCCTCTCATCCTAATAGTTGGCTGCTCTGATTAGTCTCTTTCCTTGTGGTAGACCACTCCTGTTGACCCTCTCTTTTGTAATAGTTGGCTGCTCTGGTTAGTCTCTTTCCTTGAGGTAGACCACTCCTGTTGACCCTCTCATCCTAATAGTTGGCTGCTCTGATTAGTCTCTTTCCTTGTGGTAGACCACTCCTGTTGACCCTCTCTTTTGTAATAGTTGGCTGCTCTGGTTAGTCTCTTTCCTTGAGGTAGACCACTCCTGTTGACCCTCTCTGTCCTAATAGTTGGCTGCTCTGGTTAGTCTCTTTCCTTGAGGTAGACCACTCCTGTTGACCCTCGCTGTCCTAATAGTTGGCTGCTCTGGTTAGTCTCTTTCCTTGAGGTAGACCACTCCTGTTGACCCTCTCATCCTAATAGTTGGCTGCTCTGGTTAGTCTCTTTCCTTGAGGTAGACCACTCCTGTTGACCCTCAGCTGTCCTAATAGTTGGCTGCTCTGGTTAGTCTCTTTCCTAATAGTTTGAGGTAGACCACTCCTGTTGACCCTCTCATCCTAATAGTTGGCTGCTCTGATTAGTCTCTTTCCTTGTGGTAGACCACTCCTGTTGACCCTCTCTTTTGTAATAGTTGGCTGCTCTGGTTAGTCTCTTTCCTTGAGGTAGACCACTCCTGTTGACCCTCTCTTTTGTAATAGTTGGCTGCTCTGGTTAGTCTCTTTCCTTGAGGTAGACCACTCCTGTTGACCCTCTCATCCTAATAGTTGGCTGCTCTGATTAGTCTCTTTCCTTGTGGTAGACCACTCCTGTTGACCCTCTCTTTTGTAATAGTTGGCTGCTCTGGTTAGTCTCTTTCCTTGAGGTAGACCACTCCTGTTGACCCCTCTCATCCTAATAGTTGGCTGCTCTGATTAGTCTCTTTCCTTGTGGTAGACCACTCCTGTTGACCCTCTCTTTTGTAATAGTTGGCTGCTCTGGTTAGTCTCTTTCCTTGAGGTAGACCACTCCTGTTGACCCTCTCTTTGTCCTAATAGTTGGCTGCTCTGGTTAGTCTCTTTCCTTGAGGTAGACCACTCCTGCTGACCCTCGGGCTGTCCTAATAGTTGGCTGCTCTGGTTAGTCTCTTTCCTTGAGGTAGACCACTCCTGTTGACCCTCTCATCCTAATAGTTGGCTGCTCTGATTAGTCTCTTTCCTTGTGGTAGACCACTCCTGTTGACCCTCTCTTTTGTAATAGTTGGCTGCTCTGGTTAGTCTCTTTCCTTGTGGTAGACCACTCCTGTTGACCCTCTCATCCTAATAGTTGGCTGCTCTGATTAGTCTCTTTCCTTGTGGTAGACCACTCCTGTTGACCCTCTCTTTTGTAATAGTTGGCTGCTCTGGTTAGTGTCTTTCCTTGTGGTAGACCACTTCTGTTGACCCTCTCATCCTAATAGTTGGCTGCTCTGATTAGTCTCTTTCCTTGTGGTAGACCACTCCTGTTGACCCTCTCATCCTAATAGTTGGCTGCTCTGGTTAGTCTCTTTCCTTGTGGTAGACCACTCCTGTTGACCCTCTCATCCTAATAGTTGGCTGCTCTGGTTAGTCTCTTTCCTTGTGGTAGACCACTCCTGTTGACCCTCTCATCCTAATAGTTGGCTGCTCTGGTCAGTCTCTTTCCTTGTGGTAGACCACTCCTGTTGACCCTCTCTGTCCTAATAGTAGGCTGCTCTGATTAGTCTCTTTCCTTGTGGTAGACCACTCCTGTTGACCCTCTCTATCCTAATAGTAGGCTGCTCTGATTAGTCTCTTTCCTTGTGGTAGACCACTCCTGTTGACCCTCTCTTTTGTAATAGTTGGATGCTCTGGTTAGTGTCTTTCCTTGTGGTAGACCACTCCTGTTGACCCTCTCTTTTGTAATAGTTGGCTGCTCTGATTAGTCTCTTTCCTTGTGGTAGACCACTCCTGTTGACCCTCTCAGTCTTAATAGTTGGCTGCTTTGGTCAGTCTCTTTCCTTGAGGTAGACCACTCCTGTTGACCCTCTCATCCTAATAGTTGGCTGCTGTGGTTAGTCTCTTTCCTTGAGGTCGACCATTCCTGTTGACCCTCTCTGTCCTAATAGTTGGCTGCTCTGGTTAGTCTCTTTCCTTGAGGTAGACCACTCCTGTTGACCCTCTCATCCTAATAGTTGGCTGCTCTGATTAGTCTCTTTCCTTGTGGTAGACCACTCCTGTTGACCCTCTCTTTTGTAATAGTTGGCTGCTCTGGTTAGTGTCTTTCCTTGTGGTAGACCACTTCTGTTGACCCTCTCTGTCCTAATAGTAGGTTGCTCTGATTAGTCTCTTTCCTTGTGGTAGGGGGCGGTGGGGTAGCCCAGTGGTTAAAGCGTTGGCTCGCCACGCCGAAGACCCGGGTTCGATTCCTCACATGGGCACAATGTGTTAAGCCCATTTCTGGTGTCCCCCGCCGTGATATTGCTGGAATATTGCTAAAAGCGGCGTTAAACTAAACTCAGTCAGTCAGTCAGTCCTTGTGGTAGACCACTCCTGTTGACCCTCTCAGTCCTAATAGTTGGCTGCTCTGGTTAGTCTCCTTCCTTGTGGTAGACCACTCCTGTTGACCCTCTCTTCTGTAATAGTTGGCCGCTCTGGTTAGTGTCTTTCCTTGTGGTAGACAACTTCTGTTGACCCTCTCTGTCCTAATAGTAGGCTGCCCTGATTAGTCTCTTTCCTTGAGGTAGACCACTCCTGTTGACTCTCTCATCCTAATAGTTGGCCGCTCTGATAAGTCTCTTTCCTTGTGGTAGACCACTCCTGTTGACCCTCTCTTTTGTAATAGTTGGCTGCTCTGATTAGTCTCTTTCCTTGAGGTAGACCACTCCTGTTGAGCCTCTCATCCTAATAGTTGGCTGCTCTGATTAGTCTCTTTCCATGTGGTAGACCACTCCTGTTGACCCTCTCTCTGTCCTAATAGTAGGCTGCTCTGATTAGTCTCTTTCCTTGTGGTAGACCACTCCTGTTGACCCTCTCATCCTAATAGTAGGCTGCTCTGGTTAGTCTCTTTCCTTGTGGTAGACCACTCCTGTTGACCCTCTCTTCTGTAATAGTTGGCTGCTCTGGTTAGTGTCTTTCCATGTGGTAGACCACTTCTGTTCTTATGGTAGCCTCTCTTGTAGATACTTTCTCCCCCAACAGTCCACAGGCCACTCTTTTTATCAACAGGTGTGGATTCATTGATATAATGCACTTTTTTTGGTCATTGTTATACAAGAAGTCTGTAAGTGTAGTGCAACTTTGCCACCACGATTATGATAACAGAAAATGACCTTTCACAGGTTCATGTAGTAATGCCAAACATTGAAATACATTGCATATATAAAATAATGTAATCATCAGAAAAACCACAAGACTTACATGTTTTTTATTCAATGCAGACATTTTAGTGCAATAAGTGTTATTTTCTTACAGGGAAGTGGTTGGCTTGTCAGTCTATGGATAACAAGATTTGTGTGTTCAATGTCCTCAACCGCTTTAAATTCATGAGGAAGAAGACATTTACTGGTCACATGGTGAGACTCAGCTTTGTTCACTGCTGATATTACAATGGGAGATGTGTACTTCAAAGATTTTGTTGTAAACTCAGTGATGATTGTGTTATTATAATGGTCAACTGTACTTGTCTGCTGTTGCTAAAAGTGAACATTGTTTTCTTCTTGAAATACAAGAAAACATTCTCATGTAATAAAGGATAACATTTCCAACTAAATTTGGCAGTTGACGTTTATGACTCTCTGAATCCCTAAACTCTATCTCAGTGAAGTCTGAATTGCTGGAATATTGCTAAAAGCAGCGTAAAACTAAACTCACTCACTCAATGAAGTCTGCTATTACTGACAGACACTCTCCTACTGCTGTTTGTTTCAGGTGGCTGGGTATGCTTGTTCCATTGACTTCTCTCCCGAAATGAGGTATCTCTCAATTATTATTTAGATTTGTTGAAATAAAGTCAAGGTCTTCAATTATGTGAGAACAATCTCAATATGTTAAAGTTTAATCACATGAGACATTATGAGTATTCTTGTCATCAATGTGTCTCCTGCTGACCTCCACCGTCAATTAATCACATGTTCGTTTGTTACAGCTATATAATCTCTGGAGACGCGGATGGCAAGCTTTACATCTGGGACTGGAAGAGCACAAAGCTGTACAACAAGTGGAAGGCTCATGACGATGTGTGTATCGGAGTGTTGTGGCATCCCCATGAGACGTCCAAGGTGGCCACCTGTGGCTGGGATGGGGTCATCAAGTACTGGGACTGAGGTGGACACTGGGACAAAACACACACATTTGCTTTTACATTTACCACATAATTGAGGCTATTCCAGACTGATGCAGTCTATGGATAACACATCAAAATCACAGGATTACCTGTGTCAAAAGTGGACAACTCCATTCCTCTGTGGTTATCCATACATTTAGTGAACAGCATCAGCAGTGTTAGACAGGTAATTGCTGTGACATGAGACCATCAATAGGACATTTCCCCTCTCCATGCAACCTGCCTCCAGTAAACACTCAGTCAATCTTCTAGATGCTGATTTCCCCTGCAACCTGCCCCCAGTAAACAGTCGGCCTCACCCATCAAATAAGTACTACTATAAGTTGGAGATACCCCCTCGCCTTGCATCTCAACCCAAGTAAACAGTCGGCCTCACCCATCACATAAGTACTACTATAAGTTGGAGATACCCCCTCACCTTGCATCTCAACCCCAGTAAACAGTGCCTTGCATCTCAACCCCAGTAAACAGTCGGCCTCACCCATCACATAAGTACTACTATAAGTTGGAGATACCCCCCTCACCTTGCATCTCAACCCCAGTAAACAGTCGGCCTCACCCATCACATAAGTACTACTATAAGTTGGAGATACCCCCCTCACCTTGCATCTCAACCCCAGTAAACAGTCGGCCTCACCCATCACATAAGTACTACTATAAGTTGGAGATACCCCTTCGCCTTGCATCTCAACCCCAGTAAACAGTCGGCCTCACCCATCACATACACACAGCTAGGATTGTAAGTTACTACATCCTTCATGAAGACCACGCTGGCATCAGACTTAATGAGAGATGTATTCCCCTAGTTGTACATGTAGTTGTGAAGAATTATGATGCAGAAATTCTGCAGATACACATTGGTTTCAAGTGTAAATACAGTGGGTGTGACTGTACGTAATAGGATGGCGATGCAAGTATTGTGATACACTTTCATGAACCACCTGTAGATTTTGTAAATAAATTATTCTTATACAACCTGATTGTCTTCTTACAACCACAGCATACAACAAAATGTAGTATAAATAATTGTTGATAGCAATATGTGACCCTGATGAGTGTGTCATTGTACATTGACTCACTTATTGGGCAGTGTTATGAATATCTGAACCAACTTCAATATATATAAGCTAACATGTCAAGCTCTTTATGAAAAACATCTGATGACGTGAATAAAGGGGTAAGGTCTGGCAGTACATCAGTCACTTTTTATGATTTGCATTTCTCGGTTATGTGCACCATTTCAGAATATTCTTCTCTGCATTGGGAGTATCTATGTGTGTCTTCCCCTCACTGTGGTACTTTAAGTTCCCTCGAACTGTACAGCGGGAGCTATCTACGTTCATTTCCTCTGGCCACACATTTAATGGTTTAATGTCATAGGTGACAATGCACCAGGGTGATGATGATTATGGTTATTTGTAGATTTAACATGTGCTTTCCGACATAATGACTATTTTGCACAAGGGAACGAAAGATTTGGGAACTTGAGGGGACATTAGGATTGCAAAGTTAAATTTGTATAAACTTTGAATTTGGAAATTTGCCAGAAGTGGTAGGGGGAGGCTGAACTACGGATGGTTTGGTTGGTATTTGGGTGTGTTTTTTTATAGGTTATGTGGGATTACAACCTAGAAGGCACCATTCTGTGTTGTTTGTACTTTAGTAGAACATTTGGGCATTTCTGTATTGTTGCAGCGTATGTATTTGTCAGTTAACCTGTGGGAGTTTTGCTTGGGCTGCTTGACTGGCATGTTCAAATGGGCAGGGATCCATATAAACTCTACTTTTTAGCCTAAGGCATGAAGATCGTGAGTGGTTCTAGTATTTTGTTTGTTAGTTGGTTTTTAGTGTATTCGTTTTTTATTGCTTGGAGCCCATTGAGTCTGTTAGAATTAAAATTTTATCTTGTTGTGTGACAACCAGGTCATGGAGCGGTGTTCTGCCAAGTAAACCGATTGGTTGTCTGTATGATTTAGTTTGCCTAGAGGGTGTTCATGTATATAAGCTTTTGTTGTGTTTTTGGTGATGTTCGGGATTTGTTTGATTTATTTTGGAGTCTCCTCCCAAATAAATAAAATTATGAGGTTTGTTACACATTGCAATATTTGGGTTAGAAGTGGCTTTTTGCAAGCAAGTACTTAGGGTTTTTGAGTTAAGGGATTTATTTGGGGTGATGCCCAAAAGTTTATGGATAACTGTTTTGTCTAATCCAAAGGAGATTTTGACTGTTAGTGCTTGTAACGAGATAAGTGAGGTTCCTTGCTGTGTGATTGTATTGAGGCTCGATATTTTTATGCGAGTCATTTGGAGTGTTGTAGATACTTGACACTGAATTGTCATGGCCACTCATCTATAGTTGTCACCTCTTACAGTACACTGGGGGGCTATCGTGGACATGGGCCACATTTGGAGAGGTTTTATACATGCATAAAAAAATAAATACAAGACACCAATATAAATGTTTTAGTGCTGTTTATGTGCAAAAATTGTAACAGAATGTTCCCAATTCTATGTTCTCATCTGTAGTATATAACATCAGATCACTCCTTTTTGATAAATAATAAACAGAAATATTATCAAAAATAGATATCAGGCCAACATTAGTTTTCTAAACACCATGTCAAGATCATTTCAGATATTCAAACATTTATAATGCACAAATTTATCCAATGAACGATATATAGTGAAACCACTCAAATCCTACACAAGCAACACTGAATGAACAATGTTAAAACCTTGGTAATATAGATTTAAAGTACACAAGGATAATCATATTAAGCTAAGTATGAAGGCAAGCTTATTACAAGGGTAAAAAATGTAACAATCAAGTTAATATGTTTATAACAGTGAGATAAATGGTTACATATAAAACAAACAATGGGAGGGAAAATGAATATTTACAGAACTTTCAAACTGGTGAAGGTCATTTGTCATCCACATCACAGTACATACACTAGCAAGCCTCGAGTTGGACAAGATTCTGACTTGTGTGAGATAGGTCTCTTACCAATAAGTCCTTTTATTCCAAGGTTAACAGAAGGTTGACATTATTACCCGAAAACCACTTCTGCAAATGGTTATGTTTATTCTTACCTCACTGTTGGAAGTACATTTTTACACTTAACAGGGTGATGCAGAGGATGTTCAGATCAATGAATTTCACCATCAGATGGGATGTTGAGGGGCATACAGCACTGTAAGCTGTCAACATCAGACCACCAGATGGGATGTTGAGGGGCATACAGCACTGTAAGCTGTCAACATCAGACCACCCGGTGTCACATCCGGCAAACAACATACACTTAAGCATTCATCATGGACGAGACTCAAATCACAGTACACGCTACAGAATTGCAGCTGTTCAATTTCTTCAACTCGAACATACATATTTTACGCCTATTCAATTATACAATATTATCACATACAGAAATACGTTCCTTTAAAAAGGCTTATCACTTTTTGCATCCTCTTGGTGAAACTGGACAGATATACTGTGGACTTATAAGGCACTGCAGGACATAGAAAAAAACTTATGCCTTGAGACACAGACCATGGGAATGGTGCCTAGAGATACATGTTCACTTGTACCATTTTGTCGAGCCACCTCCCAGAGAAGTAGTGCCACAATGTCTACCCCCGTACTGGCACTCATGTTACTTTCGTAGGTAATGGAGAAATGTTATTGTGGAACCATCATCATCTACCACACCATGTTCATTAAGTGTCCAGGATACATCAGCAAATGTTGCGCTGTGTTGAGTTGGACATATGTAGGTCACACACACACACACACACACACACACACACACACACACATATATCAGTGTGACTGTCAACAAATCTTGAGTGATCAATTAGTCAACAGTCACATCCACTATGGCAGTCACACCAAATGTTTTGAGACTTAATCTCTGTATACAAATGAGAATGGAACATTGCTAGCTTTCAGGCAATTATGGTAATATGTAACTAACTTCCGGGAATAAGCATGAATAATAAAATTAAATCAATTATCAAAAGCTTGACTATCTACCTAAAATTAGAACATAAAAATTGTCTAACTTAAATATCTACTGATGTGCTGTCAATATATGAGAAAACCAATCTCCACAAAGCCAATATTTCCCTACATGACTGTAACCCATGCTGCAGTAACACCTGTGGCCAGAGATGTTCCAATCTAGCTCTCAAGGTCACTAAAACACAACACTTCAGAACAATGCATTATCACAAGGAATAGCGACCACACACCCAATTCCAAATAAAATCCACAATGAAACAGGTTGTTTCTAACTCAATGGTTTCAAATGTAAATAAAATAAAACATATAATCCAAACAATATTCCAGACTAAAAGGTTCTAGTTTAGGGTGATTACAGGTATGTGTCAAGTCATCGACTTCCATAGAAACATGACCATGCTGCATCATGCTGTATAACCCACAACATTATTCAGTGTATGTGGGAGTACTGTAGGGGATCATCAACCCATCTTTACAGACAGACAGACAGGAATTAGCAAGGTCATTGACTTCCATAGAAAAAATACACCACACATCTGTACCTGCTTCACTTCACATGAGAAATTACAGGTCTGATGGCCTGAACAAGGACTGTAATCACCCAGACTGCTAAAATGGATGAAAGGAAAAAAAAAAAAATTTAAAAACCCAAACAAGTCACCTAGGCCAGCTAATAAAACACAACAGTAAGCAGAAGCCACCACAGCTATAACATCTACGTCTGCTTTGCTGGCAGCATGGAACCCCTTGTTGGTGAGACATGGCTCAGTCCAAGGTCTGTCATGCCAATATCAATAAAAGTGTTACCCCAGGATTACTAATTTCAACATATGAACTAACTGTGGCTGACAGATAGGATCAAGAATCTCAAAAGTGTTAGTTCAGTTTTTCAATTCACAAAATGTTCAACAAATGTGTTATTTTTTCATAATTCCTCCTTCAATCTGACAAGTTGGGAACTATCCCATACCTATACCAACACAATTGATGAGTTATCAGCACAGGATACAACATGTTGTCCCTATCACTGTATTGCCCCCCGTATCATGGAATGATGTGTAGTCAGGAAACATTACACCCCTCTGAGTATCATAGAAACCACAGGGAAATACGTAAAAGGTAACAAGCCAATCCAACTGGAATGTTTAGAAGTCTGATTACCCAGTGTAACACTAAGTGACTATGGCCCTGTGACTGAGGGACCCTGAGTGGTGTCCTGATACACTACCTGGTATATAGATCTGTACACAACTATAACAACAAACACCATCACACAGTAGTGATGTAGTGATGAAGCAGGATGGAAAGGCAAGGGATGTATTTCCACGTCTCATCAGGCATGATAGATGACAAACGATGATGTGTAGAGGTTGCTTGTCTCTGGCTTGCCGTTGTTGAAACTCTTGCCCCACGCTGTACATGTGATGTTGACGTAGGCATGTTCATGCAGTGTGTTGAACTGGACCATGACTATGGGAGCCAAGAACTTGTCCGTGGTGCGGGGTCGGTACCAATACACTGGGAAACCATTTGCAGGAAAGTACTGGATTGGCGAACTGAAGAGAGTGTCTTTGGCAATGTGCTTCCGGTCTTCCTCAGTCTGAAACAATAAATATAATACCATGGATGCTGAAACATCAACAAATATAATACCATGGATGCTGAAACATCAACAAAAGCAGTAAACACTTAATTAAGCATGTCTGTTGGTTTGTAAAAAGAAAAAAGTGGCAACACATGCTATTTGAACAAGAATGTGAGCAATGGCTGGTGTTCAGGGGGTTCAAACCCCTGCCCCCTCCCTATTGAAACTGACAACGAAAGTTCACATTGAAGTTAATGTTTTGCATTGGCAGTGTGTGTGTGTGTGTGTGTGTCGTGTGTGCATGAGAGAGAGAGGTGTCGCGTGAGGTGTCTCACACACACACACACACACACACACACACACACACACACACACACACACACACACACACACACACACACACACACACACCTCCCTATACTACTCCTGGATCCGCCTATGTGGGACATGTGCAGGTCCAATTAATCACAGCCTAGTATACTCATATTCGCAACACTATCTAGGGAGCAGAATCTTTATATTGTTGAGTTCATAACATACAGACTGTTAGGAATGTATTTGTGAGTGAGTGTTGTGAGAGTGTGGTTGGAGAACTATACTTACAGCCCCATCACAGGTGACGCCGATGTGGTTTGGTGAGTAGCGGTGTCCCAGCTTCTGACTTTCAGCAGTGTTGTTGGCAAAAGGTACAGCGGTGGCATTTCTTGGCTGAAACAAAGGTAGCCCTGCAGCTAACACTGGATGACTCATGTTTCCTTTATGATCAAACCATGTGGAGGAACCTATGTAAATACAGTGAAGCCCCGTTAGTCCGGACTCCGATAATCCGGATGTCTCGCCTCCCGGACGATTTTAGCTTGTTACCAATCTATGCCTATATAATTTGCCTCGATAATCCGGAAATTCGGTTTCCGGAACCGGACGGTAAGTAGCTGTCACCAATCAGTAAAATAAACAGTAAATTGTTTCACAGTCCGGACGCTGTAAGTCGTGTTCACGAACGTCGTGTTCCCGGCGATGTTTACTTAATTAACTGGCCAACTGGGTTGTTGTTTTAATTAGACATTAAAAGCTCCCGACTGAAGATACTGTACATTTACACTTTGATTGACACCACAATACAAAGGCGTGGATGACAAGTGAGCTGTTTTGTGATTGGTTAATGTACTTTGACAGACAGATCCGGTCACGTGGATTTAAAGTGATTTTGCTTTACGACAATGCTGCAAGTCACAAGTGTGCTTCGCTAACTTTGCGAAATGTGACCAAATACCACGTCTCATATTCAACCGATGGATGCAGGAATAATTCGGACATTCAAAGCATACTACAATAGATCGTTTGTTAGACATTACCACACATTTGCTGAGGAACGACGTGATCAGACACGTCGGATCAACATGCGGATGTCACTCGGTAATATTATTGATGTGATGAATTAAGCTTTACATTAAATGCTTATTTGCTTTATCCAGATTCGTGTCGTTTTTGTAATACAACTTGGATCTTGATTCAGTAGTCCGGACTATTCGCAATACATTCATTCAACCTACATATACATGACATATTTCCAATGTGATCAACCTACATATAGATGACATATTTCCAATGTGATCAACCTACATATACATGACATATTTCCAATGTGATCAACCGACATCTAGATGACACATTTCCAATGTGATCAACGTACATCTAGATGACATATCTCAAAAATGATCAACCTATATCTAGATGACACATTTCCAAAGTGATCAACCTATATCTAGAAAACACATTTCCAATGTGATCAACCTACATCTAGATGACACATTTCCAATGTGATCAACCAACATTTAGATGACACATTTCCAATGTGATCAACCTACATATAGATGACACATTTCCAATGTGATCAACGTACATCTAGATGACACATTTCCAATGTGATCAACCTACATATAGATGACATATTTCCAATGTGATCAACCTATATCTAGATGACACATTTCCAATGTGATAAACCTACATCTAGATGACACATTTCCAATGTGATCAACCTACATCTAGATGACACATTTCCAATGTGATCAACCTACATATACATGACATATTTCCAATGTGATCAACCTACATATACATGACATATTTCCAATGTGATCAACCTATATATAGATTACACATTTCCAATGTGATGAACCTACATATAGATGACACATTTCCAATGTGATGAACCTACATCTAGATGACACATTTCCAATGTGATCAACCTACATCTAGATGACACATTTCCAATGTGATCAACCTACATCTAGATGACATATTTCCAATGTGATCAACCTACATATACATGACATATTTCCAATGTGATCAACCTACATCTAGATGACACATTTCCAATGTGATCAACCTACATATACATGACACATTTCCAATGTGATCAACCTACATATAGATGAAACTAAAACTTCATTATGTGGACCAACAGTGTTGATCAGAACCAATGTCTGTTTCTCTCACCAGGTTGAGCTGCAGCATCACACAGGGTCTTGCAGAGGAGTAGCCAAAGTCGTTGAAATGGTTGCAGTGCCCCACATCAGTCAGGTCAAACACACACACTTTGTCTGGTGGGGCATAGGTGTCATTGCACCTGACATGGTCATCCCCTTGCTGGTTCATCATATGGTAGTCTGAAACATGACACATGCCATCTTACTACACAGAGGAGTTCAGACCAAGCACTTCCATGAAACATGACACATGCCATCTTACTACACAGAGGAGTTCAGACCAAGCACTTCCATGAAACATGACACATGCCATCTTACTACACAGAGGAGTTCAGACCAAGCACTTCCATGAAACATGACACATGCCATCTTACTACACAGAGGAGTTCAGACCAAGCACTTCCATGAAACATGACACATGCCATCTTACTACACAGAGGAGTTCAGACCAAGCACTTCCATGAAACATGACACGTGCCATCTTACTACACAGAGGAGTTCAGTCCAAGCACTTCCATGAAACCATGCTGTGTGAGCACATTCATGTACGCTTTTCTCCACATGTGATCACATGAGCATGTAGTATTACCGTAACACACAATGCTATCCATACAATGATTATGTACCTTTGCTGTGTACTATATTCGACAGGCCTGATCATTTGATAACTTTCTGTAAATTAGATTTGCTCTTGTCTTTAAGTTGTAGTATTTGGTAGTTTCCGGAAGTATTAATCCAGCTTTCAGATGTCTTGTAAAAGCTTTTCCCATAGTGCACTTCATTATATGTTTCGAATCGTACAATCACCTTGCAGATGTAACACAGTCAAACATTTCTTCACCTTGTCGTAACCATTCCACGTGAGTATGTACTCTTTGCTTGTAGTGTTTTGTCTTTATGTTTACAATGAGTTGCCAGAAGGGTCATATTTTGTAATACTTCATCACTGCAGCATGAGTGTAGTCATAGCGCTTTTTAATAACAGTGACGCAGGATTTTATTTCTACAACCTTTGTTGTGAGTGAACTGTAATTTATTCACAGAGAATTGTGTATGACAATTATGAATAGAAGCAAGCAAACTTTGCCTTTGCTTGTGATGACAGACAAGAGTTATCTCCCTTCTCATTTTGTTCAGTGCATTGTTTATTAATGAATCGGCTTACCACTCCAATTTATATTTATATATACTACACCATTTCTATGCACAATTGTTAGAAACACATGACATTTTACAGCATAATAACTTCTGCTTATTTCTGTACTGAGTTTTTATTATTGTTTTGATATTAGGACTAGTTGGTCCATGCACTGGGGCCATGTGACCACTGACTGCTGCTGTCAGGAGTATTCCTAATCTCCTGGGGGTGGGCTTAAAGGGGCAGATCGGTGCATCATCACTATTTTCATAATTTTCAACATTAACTATATTTTGTAATTCTCAGATGAAAAATTGAGATATTTCTTATGGAATATTAAGATTCATTTGTAGATATGAGTTTGAATATTACTGATATTTTCAGCCATGTCACCTTACCAACATCAGTTCATGTAAATTTCATTTATTGTTCCAAAAGTAAAAAGGTGATGTTTGATTGATCATATGTAATAGTTTGACAGAAATATCAATAAACAATAATTTATCATATGTCAAGTAGGTTTGAATCATAGTATGATTTGTTGTCTGATCGTGATCATGCTGATTATGTATCGGGTCATGTCCTGACAAACCGCCTTGTATTTTATGTCGTAGGTTTCTTTCCATGTGTTCATCTATTCACAATGAACAATAAGGCCTTGCAATAGAACATCTATCTGTACTAATACCTGCTAACATATATTTACTCTTACCAGGGTATGAAACACCCAAACATTTCAGCCAGAACAGGACTGGTTAGATGTAAAACTTTCCAGCCCTGACCAAACTTACCTGCACCCAAATAATTTAGGCTTGACAAGCAACGTAGTTTATCATCCCATTGGAATTCATCATTTAATTTTACAAGTGAATTAATAATGATATATTATCCTGAAATATGATAAATATCTTCATATACATGTCTAAATTTTAACCTGATCGCCGGGCAGGTGAATTTGAGAATCTGTCAGTTTGTGTTGAAAATAACCCGTCCCGGGCAGGCAGGTATTTCGAACGCTATATATTTCACAAATTAGTTTTGTCTTAACCTCTGCATTTCAAATTGGAAAGAGTGAGTTAAACACCGTTTCATTTTTGAACAGTACTAAAGTAATTGTTCGCAGCGTGTCAGGGTGATGCAGGTCTGAGGCTACTCCTTGTAACACTATTATGATATGGGTCTTGGGTCCGGTGAAACCCCTTTTCTAACTGACGTGCTGGTCTGCTTGGGGGAATTAACTCAGCAAAGAGTCCGAAGTCACAAGAAGCTAATCACAATTTTATTTACAAGAACGGAGTAACATGGGGTGGCCACAGAGAGTCTGGGCTGAGGGCTAGAGCTGACCTGTGTTGGGAGTCTAAACCCTACTGGTGGACCAATGGAGTTAGAAACTTTTTATCTACAATTAAAACAATAAAGAGATTATGATTGGTTGACTGATACAAAAATGGGTGTAACCTACATTAGCCTATCAAATACAGAATATACAAAATGGGGTGTGGCCTTCAATGACCAGACAGGGCAATTACTCTTAATCCTGTTAATCCTATTTTACCTGGCACTTATCTCGATGGCACTTTTACTGGATGCTTGGATGCTTACCCTGGGCTAGATCTTAACAAGCCTAATCTGATGTGTCAATTATAGGTGCTTGGATTACAATAGATGCATTTACTGTGGGCCATTGTCTTTATAACCCTTAATTGGTGTTTGCTTAAAGTTTTGTAATATAGATGATGACATGTTTACTTTATGAAAGTAGTTCATTTAATCCTCTGGTCATAACTCTGAATTACTGAAAGGGTTGCTAGCAGCTTGAGTCCTCAATACCTTAGGCTAGGATTTTATCTTGAATACAGTATCTGTGAAATTGTGTAGCCGTAATTTATACCTTTTTCAATAGTATGTCTGTGAGATGAGTTTTATAACTTTTGACTGGAGTCTTTCTCTAAGCTATTACTAATATTCTATATTTATATTTTCCTAATATCTGAATCCTAATATATTGCTTGTAGTGGTAATAATGAATAATGAATTTTGTATGAATTATTACTCCATGATAACACTATTAACACAAGCTGTCTAAGGGTTAAACTGTTATAGAGACAGCACATTCATCAAATTACAAGTATAACATGATGTTAAGTTTCTACTTTGATCCACAAGTGTTTACACTGGGGAACATGCAGAAACATGAGTAAGGCAAAAAGTATGCCTGATGGTTGTCTTACAGCATGACCTCATCATGACAGCTATGGGTACAGGCTCCAACTACAGGTCATGGACATGACACGTGACATGGCATGCATGATAGTTCTGAAAACGTGGATACATGCAAAATGTGTCACAATTTCAAATGACATCATACAGCTATATAAGGACTCTGTGAGTGTCAGCACATTCTAAGGACCATTTTTCTGGTTTGATGAACACAAAACCTCAGTTTCAGAAGGATGTAATACAAGCAATAAACCAGGATAGATAGAGTTATGTACAACATTGAACATGAAGACAATAGGAATACTGGGACAGGAAATCGGAATATTTACCATAAGTGTGGCTTTCCAAGTTGTTTAGGTACTCTCTATACCCGCCAACATGGTGTCCATTATGCACGCAGAAGGAGATGAGATCTGTTTTGTCCTCAGAGTAGGGAAAAACCTGGAGACCTGCAGATATCAATCATCAGAATCAGTACATTCACACTCACAGTGAACATGGTGAACACCAGATTTGTACACCCACTCCTCACACACCATGGGATATACCTTCACACATTTCTTCACTCTAAAAACAAGCAGTAAACAGTGTTTGTCATGACACAAAAACCCTGCATGTTTGACGCACAAATTATCTCAAATACGCAGTGAATTTAGAAGTTTGCGTCATTGTTGACGCAACGCTACTGGGCCCTTAGTTCAGATAATCTAAACTTCTAAAACTAAATGTTTGCCAGTTAACTGCTCAGTGCTTATTAAATACCTGACCTGCCTTACATTGAGTTTTGTCGTTATTAAACAATAACAGTTGATGTCTTAATGAAGCTAAGTCTAATTTCCAAACTGAAGTTGACACCCAAAAACATGTCCATGACTCCCTCTCATCACACCAGGGATCATGATGACTCCGAAATTTTTATGCCTAGGGCAAAGACTGAGTATATGGAATCCAAATAATACGACCACATGCAAACACAAACTAAAGTACTGTCTGAAATAGAAAAAAACTGTTATTTCACATTCGCATCTACAATTCATGTAGATAATATGTGAAAGTGTGAAATATTTGTTAAACTAAGTTCAGCCCAACTATAGTCTCAGTGATAAGGAGATAGAAAACGTAAAACTTGGACTTTACACAGTAGAGATTAGTGCAGAAATGAGAAATGCGTTTTTTTCTAAGTCCAAATCGACTTATTTGGAACAGACCATGGCTTTATGCAAATTAGAGGGCGATGATATTGTATTACAATGGACACTTTTTAAAAAACCATTTTGAAATTAGACTTCGATATATAAACGATTCATTATAAACGATAGCTAACGTAAACAAAATTAATAACCTTAATACTGAAACTATGAAGGATGTAGCTACCATAAAGTCTCACTATCACTAAGAAAAGAAACTGGTAGGAGGGGTCGTCTCAAAAGCAAAACAAGGACGGGTGTCAGAGACGGTTTGGGGTCGAGCTCGGGTATAGAGATATCAGCTAAGATCAATCCTTCAGGGGAATTAAACTGGGGAAGTAAATGGCATGCCGTAACAATTTACAAATAATATCCAGTCCTGTCAATCTTCGGGTGGTCATGCCACCTATATATTTTGAGACATTTAACACGATGACTGATTATGCTTTTCTACGGGTATCATACTCTTTTACATATCTGAACATAAACTTTATGAAAGAAATACACATAAGATGTTAATCAATAGATGCGACATAATAAACACACAAGAAAAGGCATCATATATCTTTGAGATGACCAGGTGAGTCGATGGTCCGTCATCCTACCTGGCTGAGCGACCTAATTGACATCTATAGTCTGATCTATTGTTTTCAGCAATTGTTTTGCCCGATTTTACGAGTAAACATGCTTTTCTGGATATCCTATTACGCATCCCACTGAACACCCAGTTAGGCCGATGTGGGTTATTTCGACATATGCTATTTGCAATTGAGTAAATTTTAGGGATACAGAGTAACAGCCTCAAAACAGTTTCATTCTATTTCTGACAGTACTTTAGTAATGTCACATTCGAACCACTTTCTGAATGGCATTGTTTGTATTGATAGCTTTTAGCTACCGGAGCCATGCGAATTCAAATTTCGAGAGGGGTACATAAAGTATGTGATCTAGACAACAGTATCAGTTCCAGACTTTCAAAGTTCCATTTTTGTTGAACCCCCGGTGACTAACTATTAAGAGTGTGGATTCGAATCTCAGACGGGATTCCACCCCCCACAGAAGCACTAAAATCTTTACTCCCCAAGGCTTGTAAAGGGATGTTCTGGGAGAGAGGGACACCTCTTGATTTTCCTCAATATATCTTAGCATTGAACATGTTGAATGTTGAGACATTTCCTCCCACTAATGTCAATTAGTGAACATGTTTCTGTAGCCAGTTCTTATCCTCACAGTAGTCCTTTTGACAAGTTACACAAAAGCTCCGGATTGATGTGATGATTATTATACCACACTGGAGTATCTGTGTGATTGTACAAACATTTTGTTTAATTCTTGTACTGTACTTCTTTACAAAAGCATATCAATGGAACATCTATCAGAAATAGTACTTCCTAATAACTAATTGAAGAATATAATATCAAAGTTGACAAAAACTATGCATTTAATAGTTTACTTTATAGTAATGAAACATTTATCATAAATATTACTTCCTAATAAGTTTTATATGAACATTAAAATATTAAAGTTGACAAAAACTATGCACTTGTTGCATATATTTAATCATTTTAAATAAATCAGGTTATTTTGACTACCCCCTTGGGACATTTTGACCAAATTTGCTGGGGCAATTTGTAGGTGGGGCAATTCTACTTGTACCGGAGCGATTACTACACGTTTCCTCCTCTCTGCCAGCATCTGGTAAACCTGTCTTATATATGGATCTATACTTCATAAGTAATACTGACCGTGCTATACTATAATCTACTAGTATAACGCTTCAGAAACACCCGGGGACACACACACATGAACAAGCAAATTAACACACAGAGAGAGACTGTGACACAGAGGATCTGGATGAGTCAGTGTTGAAACATACATGAATGGACTCATGGTTAAACGTGAAAATCTTACTAAACAACCGGGAACTTTCTATACCTTCAACGGACTTGTTCTGCCATTTCTGAAGGTTGGCAGGGCGCGGGAGGTGTTTACACACCGCTGCGACCTGTTCCTGGTGTTTCTTCTGAACAGCTACGGCGATTATCACAAGAATGACCAGTAGAATTATGGCACCTGCAACCGCTATGACCAGGTACTTCCTGCGAGAGTGTTTCTTTCTGGTAAAAGTACCACCCCCAGGCTTGTGGTGACCTTCGTACCTTACTCCCCACTCATCGACAAGTCCATCTTCGTCGTCGCGAAGGTCTCTACCCCTACTAACTCGTCCATATCCCGCGGAAGCCATGATTGTTACCACCTTTATGGCGTAGGTAAATGTGATACAGGCGCCACCATGCGGCAAGTACACCTATTTACGTCATTGACAGGTGAGAATGACGGGCGTCAGATTTTACTCCCGCTTCAAACAATTTTCTTTTCTTTTTTTTTTTTTTAAGGTACTGTGCATATCATAAAATTGCCAAAATTGAAAGTTATTTGAAAAGTTATAAAAATACCATTAAATATGTAGCAAAGCACTGTGCATGAAATTTGGTGTCACGTATCGCGCGTGGCACGTGCACTTTGTGTACAATGAACTTACTCACGCATACTTCTTCATACCTGAACTTCACACACTGATATTGAAAATTGAAAGGACAGCGTCTGAATGTTGTGGAAAATACGTTAATTTCAACCTAAACAGCGCGTGCTTCATGTCACGGCTTACAGAAAATCAGCGTCTCCGCGCCGTGTGTCAACCAAGTCAGTGAGCCTGACCACCCGATCCCGTTAGTCGTCAAGCATGGGTTATGGTATGATGAGGCATCACACTTCATGGTCAAACACAACTTGTCATTGTCAATGTCAATCTGCCAGGTCTGCGAGACATGGATGAGATCATTGGGCCTCATCGTGCATTTGTTCATTCAAGGACAGAAACGTAACTTCACGCTTCAGCAAGATAATGTCGCTCGTGTTGACAGATTTCCAGAGACAGTGCTCAGAACATTCCGGTATTCCCCTGGCCAACTGTTCCTCCGGACATGTACCCAATCGAGCACGCTCGGTGTGAAATGAAGAGACGTTAACGTCAGCGCCAGAATCAGCCATTGACGTTAGCTGGATTTAGACAAGCGTTGGTTAATAATAAATAATAATAATACTGGAAATTTATATAGCGCTAAATCCAACCACTAAGTGGGTGCTCAAAGCGCTACAAAAAAAATAAAATGTTTGAATAGAGTTAATAGTGCAATGAAAAGAGATGCGTTTTAAGATGTGATTTGAACGCAGCAAAAGATGGGGACAGTTTTAAGGCGAGGGGCAGTTCATTCCACAGCGATCGCGCACAAACACTGAAAGAACGCTTTCCATAAGAGGCCGGTCTATAAGAAGGAGTTTTCAAAAAGAATCTGCTTTCAGATCGCAGTTGTCTGGATGGTTTGTGGGGGGTTAGCAGTTCACTTAGATATTCTGGTGACATGCCTTTTAGACTCTTGAATGTGATACAGAGTACTTTAAACACTATCCTCGCCTCAACCGGAAGCCAGTGTAATGACTTCAGTATCTGCGTAATGTGAGTGTACTTTGGGGCACGTGTAACGATTCTTGCCGCTACATTTTGGACTTTTTGAAGCCTCTTCAGATATTTTTTACTGATGCCTAGAATGAAACTGTTCGCATAGTCCAACCTCGAGAGTACCAAACACTGTACTAATGTCTTGGCTGCATCAAGTGACATCGGATGACGAATTTGACTGATACATCTGAGATGATAGAAACAGGTCTTGCACAAATTGTCAACTTGATAATCCATGGACAACTCGGAGTCAAAATAGACACCAAGGTTTTTTACCCGGGATGAGAAGTCTAAAACAGAGTTGCCAATCACAAGTTTTAAGTTCTGGTCAGTTGACATCTGAAGCTGTTGCTTAGAGCCTACCAACATAGCCTCAGTTTTTCCATCATTAAGTTTCAGTTTGCTACATGTCATCCAAGATTTTATATCTGATGCACATACACTTGTTTTCTGAAGGGATTCAGCAACTTGTGAAACTTCAAAACTATCAAGGACTTGCGTATCATCAGCATATGATTGGTGACCGAGATCATGCCGTTTTATGATCCCACCAAGTTGATTCGTATATATCACAAAGAGTAACGGACCCAGAACCGATCCCTGTGGTACTCCACCATGAAACAACATTCCCCAAGCTGTCTTCAGTCGATAGGTGTGCTAAATCATATTTAAGTATATAATAATATCATATACGTAAATTTACGTGTCGTATGCGTAGATGATTGTTTGTTTTTGCCGCACTCAGCAATGTTCCAGCTATATGGCTGCGATCTGTAAATAACCGAGTCTGGACCAGACAATCAAGTGATCAACAGCATGAGCATCGATCTACATGTGTCAACGTAGTCAACGAGCCTGAGCACCCAATCCGATTATTCGCCTCTTAGGGCAAGCATGGGTTACTGAAGAATTCAGACCGGGATCTTCACGGGTTGTGCGTAGATGTAAGTATCATATGCGTAGATGAAAGTATTTTCTACGTATATGGTAGTATCATCTATGTAAATGATGTTAGTGAGACTGCGGCACTAATACCATGGGTGTTCAGACACACCTTGAAGCAGTCCACCTCTCTCTCTCTCTCTCTCTCTCTCTCTCTCTCTCTCTCTCTCTCTCTCTCTCTCTCTCTCTCTCTCTCTCTCTCTCTTTCTCTCTCTGCTAATATATACATTATTATTTTCTACTAGTGTTTCAAACCGCTGTCTATGTATTCATGCGCCGTCTGTATGGTAGTTCACCACGTAGTCGTGTCTCTGTTGTCAAGCCATAGGCATTCATTCATTCACTCTCCAAAGCGTTGTAACATTTTTGCACCATATATGTTAGGTCTCTGATTTTGCTCAGAAAGAAAGACAAGAAAACAATATATAAGCTTGCATGATATGACAGTTGTATATCGGGAATATTTGCAATTTACAAGGTGGCTGAATGTTCGAGGGTACCAGCACTCCTGGATGAGGTCATTGGTGCGACATTTAGTGAAGAAACATGATGTTTATACTGGGGGAATTGATGGACGGTATAGGCATAATAGCAAACGGTGTAATATGGGACAATTAAAACAACGAAGCAGATGCTGGTGTGGCGGCCGTTGTCATGGTTTCCGTCGATGGTGAAAGGAAGGGCAGGTTGAGTTTGTTTTGACCCCGAGTATTAACAGGTTAACTTAGGAATATATTCACACTCCGGCAGAGGCCTTTCATGTAAACTTGGAACTGTTTGTATGTTGACCCGGTTTACTGTGCTACACCGGGAGGACAAGCTACGGAATGCATAGTAGCTGTTGTCTTTCCTTTTCTTCTTTTAATAACAAATTTTCATAAGATGTTGAGATACATGTATTTAATAGTTTAAGCCATGTTCTTCATTGCTAACTCCCGTTATGAAACAAAACATCCTTTCATGTAATCTGTAGCTGTAGCGCAATGCCTCTTCCATCATCACCTGCTGTCCAGGTATATTATTCCCATTTCCAGAAAAACAGAAGTTAAATGATCACAGCCCTGTTATTGTCCTTTATTTAAAGCAGCCAGGGTGTTTCTTTTTATAAAAAAAACTACAATGCGACCGCAGTTTTACCACGGCTTATGCTGTTCGGGCCGATCCAAACGAATTTGTAAAGCCTTTAAACCATTTAGTCCCCACTTATATATGGCAAGCCGTTCTAACATTTATTTCGGGATGTCTTGAAATGAACTGAAGCTATCTTGAACTGGATTGGAGACATCTTGAAAAGAATTAAAGATAACTAGAATAGAAATACACAACGTCATTTTAGAAAGTGGTGTGAGTTCGAAACCCGGATGGGACTCAACCCCAAAAGTACTAGAATCTGTACTTTACTAAGAAAGTGTAATCCCAAATATAACATATGTTGAACTCGAATAGAGGTAATTATAGATATCTGCAATAACATTCATATCACGAAATGAATTAAGGATATGACGAAGCATATTAATGGTATCTTGAAAATAATCCTAACTTGGATAAATGGTATCAGAATAGAATTTAATGATAGAAACACATTCATTCTAATGATATTAATAAAAATATTCAATTCCTGACATCTTACCATTTAGTATCCCAAAGCGCGATAGCTCTCCTTTTGAAACGATTTTTGGTTCCCGACTCAGTATGCCCTGCGACAACTTGTCAGATGTAGAGAGAAAGAAAGCCCACTCGTTACCGTTAGCATCCAATATATGGAACCGGAAGAATTTCTGTCCCAGTATATTGGAGGATCAAACGGGAAGATATCTGTAGATCATTTCCCGCCCTTTTGGGGACCGAAAAAATCGTTTGCCGTTTCTTTCTTGTTACAGAAATGAACGATTGATGAAAGGATATCTTGAAAACTTTGAATATTATCTTTAAAATGATCGGTAAGGGTCAGAGTTATTATAGAAGATATCTTGAATGAAATATAACTCTGATGCATTGAATTAAATGTGTCTTAAATTAATTAAGGATATCTGTAATGCGTTTGTGGATATGTACAATTATTTCAAGACATCTTGAATTAATTTCGATTTGATTATGTTCAATATGATAGTAATTTGTTTAATTGTCTTAAACACATTTAGAGATACCACAATCTGCTTTCCTGATATCTCAGTAACACGTTGCTGTGCCTTTAACGTGTTCCACTTATGTGAACATATCTTGTTCAGTCTTGACCAAGGGAGGAAAGACTAATTGCATCTAAATATGAAATCAAAATTAACCATTTTGACCTTTGATGCGCTGCGTATCTCTGCCCATTAATGGTGGTGATGTGTACTTTCATAAACACTACGTTCAAAGGGGGCGCATACATCTTTTTGAGAAAGGGGTGGGGGTGTGCACAGTTCATTTTCACCCGTACTCGCGAGAGGTACTATGGTTTAATACGCTTTCAGGAAATAAGGGGGCGGAGTTGCGCAATACGGTTCAGGCATACAGTGGATGACTGAACATATCCCACTGTGAAGGTTTTTCTGAAACATATACTGTATATGAATAGATTTTACGCAGTTGTGTCTCATATAAGCTATTTTAATTAGAAATACGTGTTTTATAGGCACAGCCGGCTAAGCTTCCTGAACGGCTTATGGCTGTAGGGGTACTGAGCTTTCGGAAAGGGAGATAAGAACAAAAGTAACATGTGAGTTATTCCCCTTGAACGCAAACATGGCGGATGGCGATGCCGACCCAATTTTATATTTTACTCGCTGTTTATACTGATATTTAGCCAGTAAATATGGCAGCACGTCCCTGCGCCCAAGGAGTGAAATGTAGCTCTACAGGATCGGAAGGTAGCAAAACTTGGCCTAATGATGTGTATGGTAAAAGTGATGGCCATGTTCAGTGTTCACGAATGGTGTTTCGAAGTAACAGGACATTGGGTAAGTTTCAGATGTCTGCCTGACCCATTGAAAATTCACAGGACCCATAGAATAAAAGTAAACACACATTTCAGATTTAACATTTCTTATAATTGGCATTGAAATTATTAACAAACATAAGATTTATAAACAGCAAACAGGTATGACATATAACAACTTCAGTCAAAGTCATTGTGAAATATTCAGTCAGACACTGGGGTCGGCGGGTTGTACTGTAGACTTCTATCCGTCCGTTGGTGAATTTGCCGGGTTTGTCATAGGGTTAGACGCTATTCGTGAACACTGCATCATGTATACGCTGTTAGATATATTTTAGCTGAAGGGATTGTTGTCGGCACAGGTGCTACAAGTAATGGTATGTACCCCAGGTACATATTTGTGTAGAGAAATGTACCCTAAATATATTCAAAATACATAAACGTGCCCGGTACCCTTAACTGCAAACGAGTCCATACTCAACAATCCAAACCGAAACCGATTCATGACAAGTTCCTGGTATGTTATAGAATGATACAGTGCATCCTGAAATATTCGTCATTGTGTATACTTGCTTTTTATTCAATTCAATCGAATGCATGTGATATAATAGTATGACACTTCCGATCAAGAAAACGGCGCGGAACTGACTCATCCTGGGGTAGGTTTCAGTATTCAGAGTTTAGTTAGGGTACGTTTCTGTATACAGTGCCGACAGCAACCCCTTCAGATTTATTTCATTCTGATGGTATGCAACTGAGGACGGGATAGTATGTAACTATCCATATTTCACCGACACGGCGACAGCCTGTAAGGCTTTGTCCAGACGTCTGTGCTGTGTCTGAGCCTCATTTGTTTTCTTCGGAAGTGAAGACCTGCTGTTCTCCTGGATACTCACAGTTAGGCCGACATAATATCATATCTATGATATTACATTACAATACATTACAGAAACTAGCGTCCTGAAGCAAATGAAACTGGGTGTGGCACTGGCTGTCATCCGGTCTAAGCCTCCTTCAAGGACTGCGAAAGAACACACAGAGCATCTGTCATCCTTGTTCATGACTTCACAACACAAGTACCAGGAGAGGTGGGAGAGGTCCCAGGAGGAAGTTTTGAATTTAAAACAACAATTGCTGATGTCACACTCTGGGTGGCAGACTTCACAAATTACAGGTACACACTGACAATTGCAAAGCTTTCAGAACTTTTCTGTTTAGATATTTCTGGTGTCCTGTAAGATATAAATCGTACAAGGTTTGTGTCTTTTTTTCCAAATAATTACAGTTATGTTAGAGGAATATATACATATTTCCAACCATCAACACTCTCTGTCCACTTTATCATGATTCTTATAAGTTGTTGGGTAATATTTCTTACATAAGGGTATGAGATATGATCATTATTACGTCGTTCTAAATGTCATCTCTCACTGACATATCTACCTACAGGGATACTCATTACTCATCATGTTATATTCATGTATATGGCAGGGGACGAGAACATGTTCGACAGCCAGCCCTTGTTCCCAACCCCTCCTTCCTCATCAGAGGCCAGTGACAGAGATCCCTCAGTGGTAGTCCTGAGAGAAACTCTCCATACAGACATTGCATTTCTGCAGAGCATCATCAATCTTGACAGATCAGGTGGTGGAAAGGTGAAGGTAAACCATGACCTTCACAACTCGGACTTGCCTGTCTCCTGGAGCGAGGTTACCTGGGCTACTGTGGAGCACAGCCTGAAGTGTGTGGGGGAGATGCTATCTGACCCCACCCGACCTCTCACCACATCTTTCCTTCGACAAGCAATGAGGAGTGTGGTCAGTGTCCTGGAACAGGACTTGGCTGATGGGAAAATTGGGACATTGCAACACTGTCGTGGGACACTCCTTGGTGTGCTTTCTAGCATAATCCAGAGGATTTTAACTGCTGATACATTTCAACATGTAAGCAAAATACTTTCACTGAAATTTCATTTGAAAGAATGGATTTTAATATATTTTATTGCAGTGGTTTGATTTGTGCTATAAATTTCAGTTCTGCTAAAAAGGGAAAGTGTAAACTGTAAAACTATAGTTTTCATTAGAACACACGCACGCACGCCCATATATAACATATATATATATATATACAAGTACATAGCTCATATTCTGCTTGCATAGTAAGTTTTTAACTGGAGCAACTCCCACTAGATACAGTCATTGTATATATTGATATGGATGTATTGTGCTGCTACAACCTGACTGATAAGGACAAACTTAATGGATGAACAACTTCTTTAATCAGGTGATGCGACTTTCCATACAGATTCTTGTATCGTTGTCAAGCAGGTACAATACAAGAATCTGTATCTAAACGTCCCATCACACGAATAAAAGTTGTCCATCCAAAAGGTTTGTCCTTATCTGACTCTCCAACTTCTAAAATATGCCACTCAAAGAGGTAAAACTTTACTGTCATTCCAGAGTGGTGAAACTACCAGACTGCTTCAGCTCCTGCCCTGCTTCTCCCAGATTAAGTCCCTGACTCTGCTACAAGAGGTTCTGTGTATGTTCTGTCACCACATTGAGAAAACTGCAGATCATCTGAGACAGGCCCACGGTGCTAAAGTAGACTTCTGCCCTATTTTGGCTGAAAACATGTATTATATCATCGTTGCCATGGAGACGTGTGTACACAACACAGTGTTACTGACAACTAGGGCTGGACACACTGTGTGTGGCCAGGTACAGGAGCGCCTGGAGGGATGTCTGGTGCATCTGACCAGGCCATACCCTCTCTTGGCCCAGGCTGTGTGGAGACTAACCAACTTGCTGGAGCTGTGTGTCACCAAGAATGCATAGGGATATATATATGTATGTAGATTACTGGGTTGTTGGCTGTATCTGTGTAGAAGCACTTCTCAAACGTGGATGATAGAGTCCAACGAGCACAGCTAAATGATTAAAAGGAGTGGGCGAACAATGTAACAGACTGGATAGTCAAAGCCTTAAAGGTGGATACACAGTACACCCCAAGGTCCAAGGGTATTTGACTGTCAAAACGTGGGAACGTGGATACACGGTCCAACCAAAGGGCTCCGGTACTGGACAGTCAAAGCATGAGAAAGTACCAGACAACCATAATAATATACCTCCTTACCAGAAGTACATGTCCATCAACAACCCTCTAACATTTCTCACTAACAGTATCTGGCTGCACCATGCACCTTAAACAGAACCAATGTTTGTACCTTAGGACGTTTGTTTCCTCTGCCTAGTGGTCACACCCATGATCAAAATGAAAACATTTACATTATCACGTAAATGCGCTCACAATACTGATGTTTATCCAGCCGATATCCCATAAATATATCAAAATAGCAACGCCTCCTCAAACTGAACTCACGGTTGCAACAGCTGAACTTCAGACCTTTGTGATTTTTCACATACATGTAATAATTTTACGCAAGATTGGTAGAAAACATACTTGTGGATATTCGAATTTTTTGCAACAGGCTGCCTCAGCTATCATGTTAACTATACACATAATGCATTAAAACCCAACTGAAGAGCCGAAAACACCCTACACCGGCTGCATGATTGATTGTCGGGGAGTATCACTTACCAAAACCAATATGTAGGGTTAGTTGACATATTGTGTTTGAAACAAGCCCACATGGTTTGCAATTCTTTGAATATTGTGCTATGAGTATAAGCCGTCGGAAGTGTTTTCTCATCGTTTTATTATGTTTCTCCTCAACATTGATATATTTACGGTCAAGTTTTATTAGTAGCGCTAACGATTACCGACCTGGATTAGCTAAACGTAGATTTGGTCAGTTCAAAAGGACCGACAACAGTTTGTGTGAACATAATGAAAACCACGAAAGAGATGGCGCCAGCCCAACAAACTCCACACAAGGAAAGGATGCTGTTGATAACAATCACAATTCTTTGGACTGTGGTACAGGCGTCAGATTTTCCGATCTTCCCCTTTCTCTAACAGCACTGGCAAGTTTTCCTGGGACAGGCAATACCTGGCTGAGGCACCTCATAGAGAAAATGACAAGTGAGAATTGTACATGTCAGAGAGAATGATTAGTAAGAAAATAATCTCATAGCTGATGCATGACAGGCATAATTATCAGCCCGAGCATTCTTAATTGATGCGTGTCCGCTGGAACATTCCTAGAGTCTGTAAGTGAGAGCGAATTGTCAGCAGGAACGGTCCTTGTTGCAGGGGACAGAGTTTATAGGAAAGAGACGACACGCGGCACTCACTCAGCGCTAGGGCTGGGACAGGTCCAAATTGTCTACCCGGGTACCCCACCTGACCTCAAATTGGTATGAAATTCAAAAGAAGGCGACTGTAATTATGTCCAAATCTTCAAAGACAATACGACCCGTGCAGGTCAGGGTTAGAATATCGGCCATCCGTAACCCAGGCGACTAACGGGATCGGGTGGTCGGGCTCGCTGATTTGGTTGACACATGTCATCGGTTCCCAGTTGCGCAGATCGATGCTATGTTGTTGATCACTGGATTGTCTGGTCCAGACTCGATTATTTACAGACCGCCGCCATATAGCTGGAATATTGCTGAGTGCGGCGTAAAACTAAACTCACTCATTCACTCAAATAGAGCCTTTTTATCATGAAAGGATAACATATTGCATTATTCAATCTATTGGTCACATGATCATAACGGGTCCGGGTATTGAGAGGATACCCGGGTCCAACTCATATTACCCAACCGTGGTGGGTATCAGGGTAACCCGTCCCAGCCCTACTCTGCGCGTATTCGTTTTAGCTGGGTGCACTTAAATATATAAATGCTGATTCTATTTTCGGTAGACAATTCGAGTTTATCAGCCAGCAGGCTTGTTTGATTTAGTTATGTTCTGTTCGTAAAGCAAGGTGATTTGTAACCACTAAATGGAGGAATGGGACAAAGTGTGCACCCATGGACCCTCCAACTCCAGATTCGCACATGGGGAAAGAGGCAGATGAGGAAATATCAAGCTGAACCGTTGATGAATTTGATGAACAGTGGTAGTCACTCAGTGAAATGAGGTAACGCATCCATTAATTATTTCCTTTCCTTTCTCTCCAACCAGGCATTGCAACTGGCTCAGTCCATCATGACGGGTCCTTTCTGGGTGTCTTCTGCGGAGAAGAGAGAGAGCTGATCACTCTGTTGTTGCTATCAAGACACACCTGAGATATCCCGACAACACATTTACCCCAGACAAGGTACTGCTGCTCATCAGAAACCCATATTACGCTATCGTAGCCAACTTCAACAGGATATATTCGGGACGGCATACAGGCACAGCACCTACGGAGGCCTGGCAGAAATGTGAGCCATTGCTTGAATATGTAACACCCTGTGGGCCGTTTTGCTCCTCGTGTAATTAATTAGATAAGTGCCAACACCAGTCCACATCACGGAATATTGTTGCATTATTAATTTGGATGATATTGCTAATAGACAGGAATAACAGCGTTGCCATGAACGATTTACTCTTTGTCACACTATGTATGGTTTTCCTATTTTGATTATCAATTCTATTTCATAACATGTATGTATTTCTACTCGTTTTTCAGAACGCATGTAAAGGAAATAACCAAATGAAATGTGAGAAAATCTTTCGATGACTTGTCAAATCAGAAGCTTCTTATGGTGTCCTAACTAAAATGAAACCTCAAGCTCACCCAAAGGTGTGTCACAAATCTGTGTATTAAGTGTATAAGTAGTAGACAGGATAGGGGTTTTGGACCAGGGTAATCTAAAGCTTCATTTAATAGATGAAGCCTTAGTTGGACCCTTCCCATTACCATCTACTACCCCTCTACAAAGCTTTATTTCACAAATAAGACTTTAGTTGGGGACCCTTACCATTACCTCTACTATAGTGGTATCTTATAGGAGCCTTAAAATCTGTAGGGCACCATGAGTTTCAGCAACCCCAATGCAATGGGACCAAAAAAGCCCAACATTTCGAGATTTTCCATTTAGACATTTGGTGCCCAAGCATGTATACAGCAACCTATTCGTATTTCCAGAAATATGGCAACCGAAGCAACTTTCGAAAATATGGGCTTGCGAGTCGAAAAAGCAGTGGCATACCACCTCCTACTGGAAAATACCGTGGGAAGCAATCTTCTCCCGGACATTGCCCGTGTAGACTATCTCGATGGCCATCTCGACAAAACAAACCTCCAACCACTGGAAGGCCTACCTACATTTGTGGGCCGATATATATGTATTTGGCTATCTTGGTGAAAAGACTGTGTCTATAAAAAGGAGCCGTGTATTGCACCATCGGAGAAAAAGGAACAGCATCTATTGTAGTTTCCAATATAGCGAGTGCAGTCACGGGAATCTTTCGGGCAAGAGGAAGGCTACGTGCAAACCAAAATCGTACATGCAGCTACAATATACCATAGATGCCCCTCTGCAATCACGGAGCACTGTCACGAAGAATCGAGAAAGAAACCAATTCTGCGGCAAAGATACAATGGGAATCTCTACGTGAGCGACCCGATATTCCGGAATATTCAGTGGCAAAGTAGATGTCTCGAGGAAATACCTATGGAACAAATACAAGCCAATATTTCCAAATTCGAACGATTTCTATTGGCACATGGCTTTGGCCTGTATTCTATCGACTATACCAAGGATTTCTCTGGCACCCTAGATAGAAAGTGTCTCGTGGAATACCTCCAAAGGATACACGACTTTCGAAACCAAAGAGATCTTGCAACTGCCATGGACTGCGAGGGACCCACCATCCTGGACAATACAAGAAGTGTAGGCAACCACGTCTGTACTTGGGTTGGAACCTGGAATGGCTATACCATCGCGAACAAAATCTACAACAAAGTAGTTTCCAATTTGAAGCGGAGGAGTCGCGAGAACACATCGGTGGCCATTTGGCCGACTATCGCGCGGATTGCTCCAACGAACACCTGCGGAAAACCTTTCTCCATCCAGATGTCCAGGCTAGAGGTTGTACTCGCATAGAGGTCTCTTTATGCGGCGCATAGAACCAACACCACAATGGCCAGCGATTTGGTGGACGAAGCACTAGAGTTGTTCTCGGGGAAAACCTATTTGTAGTACAACCACCAGCAAAACAGTGGGAGAATCTATCGAAATGTCTAGACCGTTGCATGGTGCTTGCAGACAGACCCCAGGGGACTATCTTCGTGGGCTGGTATGCACACACGAGACGCGGGGAAGAGTTTCCGGAATCAAGTACAACCAACCAAAGCCAACGTGGAAGGCGATGCTAGATGGAACCACGCTGTAGAATGGGCTACAGCTGATTTTGGAGTTCGATCGTGTCCTCTATTCAGTAGACATTTTGGCTGCCACAGCTACAGGAGTAGAAATAGGTCCACTACGATGCTACACAAAAGCTCCCCATCACGAGCTATACTATCTCGTCGAAGTCGTAGGCCGACACAGCTACATCTCCAAGGCCCAAATCCAGATCACGATGCTACCCCGAACAAACATGTTGCTTTCGAATGGCGCGAAAAAAGACCAAAAAGCGCCATCGGTATAGAAACTTCAAATACGAGATAGAGGAGGTACCGAATCCGGGGGCCGATCGTACTATACTGTCTTGGTCGACGAGAGATCGCGAAGGCGATTGGAAGAGATTTTGCATGCTGCCAATGCAGAAGAATGGCGTGAGATGCATGGAATCATACAGAGTCGATCTTGAGAGGAATACAAACAGAGCGAAGAAAAACGAATGGAGGAAGTCCATCACCTCGAAGATTGTCGCTGCCAAAAGACACTATGCAGAGATTTCGAAAAAAGCACAGGAAACAGTCAGCGGCCTCTCCCTCCCTAGCACAATTCGCCTGTCTTGCCTTTCGGGCGAAAAAAACTATTCGTTCTTGGATGGTATACAGAAATCCAAATGGGACTCCAGCAAGACTTCCTACAGAGTGCTTGTGGAAAACAACGGCGAACCAATAGCAATTTGGGCAAACAAAGGCCTAGAAGCGAATTCTCTCCGCATGCAACAAGTTTGCGGAAGAAATGCGATAGGTGAGGGGCGAACTACATTGGACTCCCAATGGGCCAATTTCTTTCAGCGTAGAGCCTAGTAGGAGTTTGAAACAGAAAATGGTGTTCCAATCTATTGGAATCCAGTGTCTGTCGTATCGTTGCCAGATGATATGGAAGAATCTGTTTGCCGAGCACTTGCTCACGGAATCTGCAGTGCAAGATCTCGAAAGACTACACCAAAGGCAATAGAAGAAACGAATCAACCAAAGCCAGCGAAACAAGCGTATATTCGATATGCTTCCTGGCGAATACATTTGTTGGAAATTTGCTTCTACAACCTATCGCGGAAACCAGAGAACCATACTGTGGCTGGTTCCGACTGCAGATGGAGTGGAGACAACAGACGTACATGTACCCGTGTGTGGATTCTATCTTGAAAAAGAAATCGAGCGGCTCGGAGGACCGCGATGCTCTTGAAACAGCGAAACTCAATTCTCTGCTCCATCGGAAGCGAAAAGAACCCCACAAAAGAGCGATAGACTCTGCGCTAGAAATTGCAAGGTCTACAAGACAACATGGCCAGTAGAAATGCAGAACAAAATCTTCCCACGATAGGCTACTGGATACAAACAACCGAGACCAGTTCTTCCACTCCTTGGCGTTTCTGGAGAAATATGTCCAAGTATGGTAGGAGTTTCTATTTTCTCGGCAATGTGTTCCAGATCTTGCAAGGAATTGTATTCCACACTGGGTATGTTTGCTAGGGCATTCCGGAACTCCTCGAATGGAGGCGGGGTGGATTCCCTCTTTTGTATACAATATGCATGCTTTCGAGATGTATACACAGTACAGTGTATACTTCGAATTGGGTACAATATTTTTTTTCTAGTCCATCTGGAAGGGGTCCCTATGTTTTGGTGTTGCTGTTGTCGTCTCGTGGGCCTGCTTGTGGACCGGCGGTGGTGGTGTGCTGTGCTTCCAGGTCTTGTGGATGACCTTCCAGAGAAAAACAGCGGCTAGCGAAGGTAGGTCCA